TCAGCCAAGTATGCATTGTAGATGTTTTACTCAGCAGGTAAAGCATCTGTAGGGGGTACTTATGAGTATGCATCTGTAGATGCATAAATGAGTACACACTTCAGTTTTTGGGAGAGTTTGTTATGCTGCTCAGAAACGTCCATATGTTATGCAAAAATTATGCATCACTGTGTACATTTTTTGCAGGAAGATGCATAAAATGTACACAGTGATGCATAATTTTTTAATAACATATGGACGATTCTGAGCATGCATAACTATGCAAAAAAAAATGCGTCTTTATGCATTTAAAAAGCCAGAAAAATTTTAGTGTGTTGGTAAAAAACTTAGACTGAAACTAATATAGTTTCTAGTTCAGATTTATAAAAACTATGTATACATCTTTGTGTTGTCTACTTGATTTTTTTTTTCACTGTACGAGTGGCAAGCTTTTCCTTCGCTAATTGTCGCAGATTATGCTCTTATGAGAGAGAGGGAGAGGGAGAGAGGGAGAGAGAGAGAGAGAGCGCTTCATGACGTATCGACGTGCACTGACATGAGGGACGGCACACTGTGCCAAGGATGCCAACGGCGCGGGTTCAAATACCCGTTTAACTCGTCCTTTTCGATGCAAAAATGCTCATCGCCGCTGTCGCCATTAGCATACCCGAGGTACTTGCCCCTTCTTTTTCTAACCACGATCCGGCTCCATTTTCCTCTTTTCCTCTCGCGACGCGTGCAAGTCAGCGACCCCTCCAAGCCAACGGCCGGTTACGGGGCGCCGACAAATAGAACCGCAAAAAAAAAAGAAAAACAAAAAGAAAGGAAACAGTGGCAAATCGACCAGGCCAACACATGACCGATTTCGGAGCCCAGTTTTTTCCTCAGAAAAACGCGTCTTGTGCTCGCAGTGCGCAGTGGGCCACAAGATCGGTAGGGGCCGACAAAGCTATAAACGCGTCGTGAGCTCCAAAGTCGCTGAATGGGACTCGAACCGAACGTGTGACCCCACCAATGGACTGCCCGTTCGGAGAGCAATCCATTGGTGGGGTCACACGTTCGGTTCGAGTCCCATTTAGCGACTCTGGAGCTCAAAACATGTCTGGAGTTTTGGGCGCCTCCACCAGTCTCCTGGCCTACTGTACTGTGGAGACCAGTCGCGTCAGTTTGCCCCAAATTTCATTTTACAGTGAGTGTGAAAATAAAAGTGCTGCAGGACCCATGAATTTCACAAACACTTTAGTTGGCCGAACGACCTTCACCTTTTTCAGCGGACTTCCAGCACCGGAGTTCACTTTCGCTGCAGTGGTAAAAACTCCCAAATAAATAAATAAACGAATAAATCGTCTGGAAGCGAGGCTGTCCAGAGCAAAACGCGAAACGCGGCCCCTTTGCCGAGTGAGGCGCTCAAACACAAAATTCTTATGGACTTTTTTATGCATAGTTACACTGTTAAAAAAATCAGTTGTAATTTCATAACATTGGTTGGCTTTTTTTTTCACAAACAATTGTTATGAAAATTAAAATCAAAAAGATTGAAAATTTGTTTACAATCACGATATGAAATTCATATCATGTTATGAAAATTAATATTCGCGTTTGCGAGGTCTTTTTAGGGCATTTAAAACAAAAGGACAACTAATGTTCATGTATATGAACACCGATGGGGCCTTATGCCATTTATTGAACCGATTCTACTTTTGACAGCGGGTTTCAAACCCGGGATCTTTGACTTGTGGGCACGCTCTTTACCGCTGTGCTACCACGTCCCACGGGAGGCGGAGGGTCAGCTACCTGATGACTCTACCAGCGCCCCTTGGCCAGGCCTCTTGAGCCAGTTATAAATTTTCAATCGGATTTGGAAAATTACTATTGTGAGCTCAAAATCAACACTTAAGTTTGCAATTTTCAGAACATGGTTGAAATTACCAACAATTGTCAATTTACGAATATGTTTCGAATTTCGCATCAAGTTATGAAAAAATTTCAATGTTTGTAAAATTCATATCCGTGTTCGGAAAATTGTCATCAAAATTGCTTTTAAAATTCATAACTTTTTAACAGTGTATGCATGCACAGATACGTCCATACGTTATGTATAATATTATGCATCACTGTGTACATTTTTTGCAGGAAGATGCATAAAAAGTACACAGTGATGCATAATTTTATACATACCGTATGGACGTTTCTGCGCATGCATAAATATGCATAAAAATGCGTTCTTATGCATTTAAAAAATCTATAAGAATTTAGTGTGAAGCCGCCACTCTCGATTTCGTTCCCGCGGGCCATTACAATCATTCGGAGGCGTCTCTCTCGCACCTCACGGGCCCATTCGGATCCGCTCCCAGCACGCCACAAAGCTGCTAAAAGATTTTTAGCACGTCACACGGTGGGCCAGAAGACCGGTGGTGGTGGACTGAACTCTAGACGCGTTTTGAGCTCCAGAGTCGCTGAATGGGACCGAACGTGTGACCCCCCCAATGGATTGCTCTCCGAACGAGGAGTCCATCGGTGGGGTCACAAGTTAGGTTCGAGTCCCCTTCAGCGACTCTGGAGCTCAAAACCCGCCTCCACCGGTCTTCTGGACCACTGTACATCACATGGAAGCGGCCACGAGACATCTGGTCACGTTCTCTGCTCACGTGCACGGGCCTTCCGGATCCCGCCAATCACGTCCCTCTCATTCCCTCCCACATCTTTTATCTGTCATTAGCGCAATTATCGAGATTTGAATTTCAGATGTCTTAACGGGGACTGACTGCTATCAGCCAGCAGCGTCCGCGGCCACGCCTAGGCCACCGATGACGGCAGCGTGCGAGAGAGAGAGAGAGAGAGAGAGAGAGAGAGAGAGAGACGCCAAGCACAGCGCGACGGTGGAGCCGATACGGTATCACGGCCTCGTGTTGGCGGCCAGCTCGCTCTGTCTCTCTCGCACCCATATCGTAGCCCCCACGCGTGCGAGAGAGACAGAGCGACGAAAGCGAATGGCCGCGATGCGCATCGAAAACAACGCCTTGTTTTTCGCGACAGCCGTACGGCGCGCTATTTCATTTTGATGCGCCCAAATTGCAGGCTCCTTCCAGTGTGGAGGAAATAACGACTCTTTACTGGCTTTACTGCTTTTTAATGCCTGCCTAGTTTGGACGGCCACAGATTTAAAAGCCGATGGCCGCGTCGGGCGACCCTCGGGCGGCGCTGCACAGTGGGCCAGAAAACCGGTGGAGGCGGACGAAACTCTAGACGCGTTTTGAGCTCCAGAGTCGCTGAACAGGACTCGAACCGAACGTGTGACCCCACCAATGGATTCCTCGTTCGGAGAGCAATCCATTGGTGGGGTCACACGTTCGGTTCGAGTCCCATTTAGCGACTCTGGAGCTCAAAACGCGTCCGTCTCTCGACGATCGCCAAATCACCAAGTCGATCCCATTTGGGGTGCCCCGATTAACACGGTGTAGTGGGAGGCGGAAATGGCCGATGGCAGGGCGGTGTGAATGGCCTATCGCCGCGGCTCCTCAGCTGTCTCACACCCAGGTGACATTTCCTTGAGGCCTGCAGGCCTGCCACAATGTAAGTACTACTCAACGAGTCAACGAATGTGCATTATAAATGCCATTGGGGCGTGCCTTTTTTGGCCCGTGAGAGGTGCAATTAGGGACACAGTCAGCAGTGAAACGATTTTCCTTCCCTCCTTCAGACGACACATTGTCCAATAAAAGTACAATTTGCACGCTGTAAAAGTTGTGGTTGTCCAAGCATCGCAGTCGGATGAGCCTAAAATTTAAAATGTCAGCATTCGAAGGGAGACTGTGGCACATTGAAAGTAATTGTACGTCTTCTTTCAAATTCCCGCGAAGAATTGACATTAATACCCACGCACATTTAATGTCGGCACAGTTTTTGAAGAAAGGTCAGTACCGCCCAGGGTCAATAACTTGTCGAAATGTCCGGTGCACTCGAATCTCAATACGACCCAGGCGCCCCGATGCATTATTAACAAGATGCTCCTCTTTTAAATGGAATCGGGCTTCAAAGGCCATTGAGTCCATTGAGTCACTCGAGGACAGTACTCTTCAGCTCACACGCCAGGCGGCATGGCCCCTTACGAGGCTAGGTAGGCCGTCCCGTCGAACAGGGCTGCGTCCGGGACTGCCTACCCGCCAGGCGGCATGGCCCCTTACGAGGCTAGGTAGGCCGTCCCGTCGAACAGGGCTGCGTCCGGACTGCCTACCGCCAGGCGGCATGGCCCTTACGAGGCTAGGTAGGCCGTCCCGTCGAACAGGGCTGCGTCCGGGACTGCTACATCCGCCAGGCGGCATGGCCCCTTGCGAGGCTAGGTAGGCCGTCCCGTCGAACAGGGCTGCGTCCGGACTGCCTACCCGCCAGGCGGCATGGCCCCTTACGAGGCTAGGTAGGCGTCCCGTCGAACAGGGCGGGCGGGAGCTACCGAGGCGGGATGGCCGCCCTCGAGGCGGTGGCGTCGTCGCAGGGCTGGGGGCTGTACCCGAGGGCGGAGGCGCCACGAGGCGGAGGCTCCGGAACAGCTCGTCCACAGCTAGCAAGAGCCTGCCGCTTCACAGCTAGGTAGGCCAGTCCGTCGCACGGGCCGCTCCATAGGCGGCGATGAACAACTACTTAATGCCTCATGGTTTCCTACTTAACAAAACTTTCAAGATTTGGTTTTGCGACAACAGTTTGAGCTCTCATGACACCTAGCAGATGTATTAGTGACAAGAAACAAAACAAATGGTGCTCTTAAGAGTGGAAGGACTACTTTTGGGCTAGGCGGAACTTGTAGGAACTGGTTGTGACTATTGTTTTGAAATGTACAAGTGTGGTCACTTGATCAACACTCAAATACCAGGTTTGTTTTGTTGCTTGTCTATTCTTATCAATGTCCAATGACTAGCAATCTTAGGGATTGACTCCTGAGCAAGCCTCTAAAATTATTCAGAGACTGCTTGTTTCAGTACCATCATAATCTAAATTTTAAGGGTAAGAATGGGCGGTTTACTTACCCATATACATAACGGCTCCTGCACCATGTAGGTGATGACTTCTGCAATCTGGGTGCTAAGAGGAGGCTTCGTCTTTGAGAGAGGTGGCAGCTGTGATTGAACCACTTCAGGTGCAGCTTCTGGTAGCGCAGATGGAAACGATGGTTCCTCTGCCTTTCCCATGGACGCTGCCACTAACGCTCCTTGCGATACGGTGGCGTTTGTCTTCCAATTCGCTTCGCTGGTAACTTGTACAGCGTAGTAGACTGAGCATGATAGCAATGCAACACTTATCACAGTGTATGTCTTCAAACTAGGCAAAGGCAGCCTATCAACAAGGATTACAGGCATTTTGGGACTTTTAACATAACCTCTTCACCACAAAGTTGAATACGGCACGAGCCTGACTCCAAGTTCCACCCACAAACAATTAATAAATTCTGGTCATTCGTTCGGCTCGGCGCTCTTGAACGGCACCCGGTCAAAGCAACCACAACTCCACGTAACAACACCGCTCACTCGAAAAATATTTCGTCACAACCACCCTTCTCCCAAACAGCCTTCCGAAGAGGGTCACACATGAGGTGCCTCGGATTGAAGGGTTGCTTGACATCCAATCGGTGGCACACTGGACACTCGCCCTGCCACGGGCGCCTCGCTCGGGTCCGAGTCCTTCGCTGTCAGTCCCAAAACACAAACTTGTGCAGCTGACGAAACCAGGGAGCAGAACAGGGCCCCCGACTGACAAGACAGACCGAACACCGAACACGAGAGGGTCTTCTTTCGCTTCGCACCACGTCCCAGACGGACGCCGGCGACAACTCGGAGGAGTTGAACGGAACCGTGAACGCGGAACCAGTGCACCAGCTTCGAGCCGAGTACTGAGTGGCGAAGGCGCGGAACCAACTCCGCGGACCACGACCGTGTTTAGGTTCGAACAAGCAGAAGCTTCTTCCTTGTGGCTGGCCTGGGCGCGTGGTTTGAGAGCGCCCCTGGGTACGGCACCACCCCTTCCACTCGCCCAGAGGCGGCTCCTGATTGGCCCGTCCGATGACGCCACCGCGCTCTACCGGGCGCGCGCCGAGGCCGAGGTCCGCCGAGGTTCGAATCCACTGAAAGTTTTGCTGCGAGTGTTCGATGAAAGTTGCAACGAGAAAAAGCATGTTTGGTAAAAGAAACCTCTATTTGACAGTGCGGCATGAGAAACAAGTATGTTTAGTCATGGAAACATCTATTGGCCATAGATGGAGGCTTAAGTGTGCCCGGGTGGGTTTCAAATGCCAGGCATGGCGCGCGGGGATCGGGCGACCAATCAGGGGCGCATCTGCGCGAGTGGAGGGGGCGGTGCTCAGTGGTGCTGGACTCAAGGACGCTCTCAAATGACGCGACCCTTCACACCCGAGGCCTGTGATTGGCTGGAGGCCGCGAGCCCGACTAGCGGGCGCAGCGGGCGCGAGAATTCGTTTTCAGCCGGGGAGGTGTCTAAAGTGTCCGAGAGTTTTCTTCGACAATAAAATGGTTGGCTGGATCAGTTGCTCAGGTTCATTGATTGCTGTAGTTTCAAAGCGCACAGATGTGGTCGCCATGGTTGAAACACTTGCCCATTCGACGAATAAAAAGCATCGTGGTACTTTTACTCTAACAACCGATCAATGAAAGAATTTTTTTCTTCTTTCCCAAATATTCAGAGCTTGTCAACGCTGTAGGCGTTACTCAGGAACTGCTGTGAGCCGAAAGCGAAGACCGCGCTGTGGCGCTTGTCTTTAAACTGCTTTAAACTTGGCGCTGGCGCAGCCAAACCCACTGCAATACCAATCGCAATGTGACGCTAGTCGTCCCGTCCGCTCTGTTGACTTTGGGCGAAAATGGCGTCAACACAAGTTTAGCGGACCGTGTTTTGCGATATTTTTGCAGGTATTGTGTATTCCTGGCCTGTCACCTGGGCCCTTTAATCGCGAGGCGGGAAGCAGGAAGGGGCGGCCGCGTCGCGGTCCTTGGTGCCCTGAGGTACTCCTTCCAGAGGCGCCCGGCTGTCCTTGCAACAACTGTCTTTTTATTTTTATTCTGGAACAAGTCTGGTGTCCCGAATCATCCCGTTGCCGTTATTAAAGGTGACCCAAGGCCTCGTCTTGCTTCGACACGTCCTGTGCTCCGCGGTGACGGTTCCGCGTTTTGCCTAAATTGCGATACTTTGCTGCCGAGTGCTGCCCCTGCCAGTTTTCGGGTGTAGTTGTTGGAGCCCGCCGCGAAGGCTCCTCCAGTGTGTGTCCATGGTTCGGGGGCATTTTGCCGCGTTGCTAACAATCAGTTGCCAGGACACGGGGAGAGTCTTTTGTGGTTCGCACTGTGGAAAACGCATCGCAAAGAGTCCGCTGGTGCCATCGTCTGCTTTCCTCCGGTCAGTCTCGGAACTGTCGGAAAACAGGTCGGAACGGAGTGTGGCCTGTCACAATGGACCTTGTGTTTATCCCATTCCCACCTCTGTGATGACCCATATGTTTTTTGTGCACTTCTTGCCAACTGATTGTTGAAGACTTCTATATGTCCATCTTCCAAATTTCTGATTACTGAAAGTTGAGGAAACTGTTTTGTTTGGAACCTCATAACCCCCTTCTCAGACATCATCCTGCCTGGTTCTGCCCTCAATTTTTTTTTTTTTAAATATTTTTTTTAAACTTTACTGATTGATGGTTAGCATGCAGATACTAATCAAAAGAAAAACTCATGAGAAATTATCTTTTCTTAAGTACAGCTCGTAGAACTTTTTAAGCCGGTTCTAAGGGAAAGCGACATTGGCTTTGTTTGTGTTGACTGTATCATCTCTTCCCTTTTGTAGTAATTTGCGAAGGGTCTAATCTTTATTACTGTTTGGTATTGCAGGTTCTTGAGTCAGCTGTGCTTCATGAGTTGGGAGCCTCACACAGCCCCACATCTGGTGAAGAAATGTGCAATCTGCCCAAGTGTTCGCTCTTTCCCAGTTGAGACACTTAACACTGCTACTGATGGATCCCTGGTACTACAACCGCTTGAGCAATGCATCAGCCAAGTTCCAGTCTGGAAGTGGTGCGAGCCACAGCGATTATCACCAACAGTTGGCTGGACACCAGCCGACACCAAGTAGCTCTGCAGCGGGCACACCTGCACCCCAGCTGTTGCTTCAAGCAGCTCAAGCGGCACAAGCTGCACAAGCTGCACAAGCTGCACAAGCTGCCCACAACACAGGGCACTCCATACCGCCTCCGTTCAGTCCTGGCTTCTTGACGCCAAACCCCTATGACTTTTCTCTCTTCCCCAACGCGTCTCAATATGCTGCCGTCAGCCAGCACCGCGCTCTCGCTTCAGCCATCTCATCTGCGAAACCAACCTCTGAAAGTGAACTGTCTCATCGTGAAAACTTCAGCCCGGCTCACCACTCAAGCCTCGCAGCAGCATCTGGAAGCTCTTTCTTTGATCACCAAAATTCTGCATCAAGTTCGCTTGGGTGGTCTCACCAGCCCAATCCTCAACTGCCTAGTCCATTTGGTGTTCTACCTCATGAAAGTGTATCCAATGCGTCAGGTGGGCCAGCAGCAAAACCCACCTCCGCTGACTATGCAAATGCTTTCAATGCTTACTCCTCTTCTCATAGTCTGAATCACCTCTCCCAGCTTTCGGACTATAAAAATTATAGTGAAGTGAAGAAGGAGAGTCGATCGCAGTCTCCCACAAACTCTTCTAAAGTTTCTGCAGCTAGCCCATCTTCTGTCCCATACTACCAAGGAGCCCCTGTTGCTGGGAACAACTATGCTTTAAGTGAATCTAACAATCGAAGTTCATTCTCAAGTTCGAGCAAGTACAGTGGCAGTATAGTACAACCACAACAATCTTGTATTGTTGCATCTCCGTCAGTTACTCTTCCTTCCAAGGACTATCGGCAGCAACATTCAGCTGTTGGTATTGAAGGTTCCACTGAATACCCAGACTCAAATGCTAGGCGTAACAAGCAAGCAAATTCAAGATCTCAGAACTATGTTCCTTCAAGCACCAAGAGCTCTCCCATGCCAGTTCAAACCAAGGCTCAGACCAAAGTGTATCCTGATGTGGCACATCAGACAGAAGCAACACACAGGTCAAAAACTCCTTTGGACACTAATCAGTCTTCACCAATCAGTTTGTCGACGATGGACTCGAGTGCTTCACATAGATATAGCTCAGAAAGTAATGTCGCATCTAAACAACCGCTCAGTGGTCAGTCTCAGCGTGTCTCTGGTAATCAGCTCCCTTATCAACAGTCTCTGAGTCACCAAGCAGCTGCTTATTATGCTAATGCGGGTGGAACACATGAAGCAAATTATCACCGTTCGAAGTCAGTTGAATCAGTGTTCAACTCTAGTGCCAATCAAAATGCAATGGAATGTGCGAATAGGAGAACCAGCCCTCACACATCACAGTCCAGTCCTGTGGGTCATGCACAAAGTCCAGCATACCCTATGTATAACAGCCCAATGTCTTCCATGCCATCGCCTTCTCCCCACCAACTTCCAGAAAGCACCAATCCCTGTCAGAGTGGCAGCACTTCATACAAAGCCAGCGCCAGCGCACCTGTGGACAGCTCATCAACACCACTGAATACGTCTGTGATAAGGCCACACGGCGGACCAGCGCAAAGTGTCACTTATCCATCTGTGATAACACGAGCAGTTGCTATCCCGGAGCCTTCTGCAAAACCTGTTGCTTATAATGAAACAAGGGCTTACGATCATGATTCCACCAGGTATTCGAAGCAATGCTGGGAATCTGGTTCTGATAGGGCTCCAACTGTAACTCAGCAGCAAAGAGAAACAGCCGCAAACATGGCTCAGCAACAGCATTCTTCGAGAACTTCAGAGAGGCAACAGGCATGTTACGAAAGTGCAACCAACCAGGCTTCACATGACTTGAGTAGCTTCCGAGGCGACCCCATGTCCATTGTGAAGAACCTCCAGAGCCTGCAGCAGCAGCAGCAGACATTCCAAGCTCAACCTCCTGCAGACGACTCCAGACCGGGAAGCAAGACTCCAGGTGGTGCAAGTAGCACCTCACCCAACAGCAGTGGCAAAAGAAGAAAGAGCTCTGAAAAACAAGTCAGTGCCCCTAATAGTATGGAATATTATAACAACCGAATCCCACCACCAGCTCACCTCAATGTTGCATCCCAACAGCAACAAAATGGAAGCTATTTTCCCAATTATCTCTCACCACCGTCAACTTCCAGGGCGTATTCAGGATCCCAAACTTCATTGCACCATTCATCAAATTCCTTCATGGGGAGTCAGTCTCAGGGACTTTACATGTCTCCTATTTCTCTCCATTTCATTTACCGACCACATCTCAGTCAACTGGAAATCCTGACTACCAAAGTCCTAGCTCTCAACCTAGAGCACCCCATCCAGCAAGTGAACCAAATAACCAGAATGTTCCAGTTCCAAGTGCCACTGTCCTACCTCAAGTACAAGAAACTCTGAAGGAAGAGACACCCAAGGTTGTGATTCCTGATATAGAAGAAGAATTAAGTTATCTTGTAGGACCTATACTGATGATGAAATCAGAGCAGGGCAGTAAGAATTCCGTTGCCTCTGGATTTGAAGCAAGTTATCTCAAGTTTCTTCAGGGAGAGAGGGAATCCTCACCACCGCCTAGTCGTGGAGCCAGAAAAACGTGGTACAAAACTAAAAATAATCAGAATGACCCAGCCAAACCAGTTGCAAGCTGCAATTCATCCAATGGAGGTGACATGGCTGTTGAGACAGCGCAACAGTCTCGTACAGCCAAAGAGAAAGCTCCTGCCTATGATGTTGAGGATGACCCTCGATATTTTCCCCTGCCAAAGACTGATGCTCAGAGAAGAAGTTTGGACTCATCGGACTCGGATTCAGATCCAGGCGCTGCTGCCAAAAGTGAAACTCCAAAGAAGCAGGATAGAAAGCCAATCGCAGCAGTGGCTCCAAGAACAGCCAACAAGCAAGCCGCGAAAGGAGCGGGCCCGCCGAACCCACAGCCAGCTCAGCCAGCACAGCCAGGAAAGAGAGGGCGGAAAAAGAAGGCAGAGGGTTTGTTCTTTTATCAACCCAAAACTTTTTAAGTGCATTGCTTGCATCTAAATTTTATTTGAATTTATTTTTTTTATTTTTGCAGTTGCAGTTGCTGTTCCCAGAAGAGAAACCTCAAGGCGTAAGGCTAAAGAAAAGGGCAGTATTTTACTAAATGCAGGTGATCCTGAGGATCCCGACGATGACTCTCATTCAGACTCTGACCCTGCTTGGACACCTGTGCCTTTCAAAGCAAAACCTCAAAATGTAGGAATCTTTTGGCCAACTTATTATCATCTTACATTTGTTTGGACACAATTTTAATATTCATTGTATTCTAGGTTGAATCATCTGAGGATGAAATTGTGAAAAAAAAGAGTAACAAGAAAGCAGCTAAGCTTAGTGGATGTGGTCGGAAACGAGCGAGGGCTGCTATCAGTGATGGTGATCAAACCAGTGAGGATGACTCTGCAAAAACAAAAAAACGAGGTGCTAAACCTTTCAATATCTATCTGGTGATTACTACAAATTTTGCCTTTTGCGACTCATTGCTCATTGTGTTGCAATTCTTGTTTGTAGGGTCAAAGCAAAGAAAAAAGTCGCACAGCCATCAGGCTACAAGCGCTGGTTCTGGAGATGATGAAGCCGATGATGATCCAGACTTGTATTCCTTCAAGGTAAATCAGCATATTATGTTGGTCATTTCTTCTGTATCTCTCAAAACTATTGTGCATATGTGTTAATAATAAACTTCCAGGTTGGTGAATTTGTGCTGATGAAATCTGACCTGGGTCTTAAGTGGCCGCCTATTTGGAGAGTAGATGGAAAACCCTCCTACAAAAGTTTGAATCATTTGAATCAAAAGGTGAAATACTCTACCGGAATATTTCAACAGTAAGTACCCAAGTTGTTGAATTATCTGTTTTCTTTTGTTGTCTTTTAATTAACTTATTTTGTTTTCAGTACTCTGGTTGGACTCCTCAAAATCGTGATCTCTATATATCTATTCAAGTTAAATTCCGACTCAACTCTAAGACATCAAAAGTAGTTGAATTTCTGCGGAATGAGTTGATTGAGAACAATGAGTAAGAACTGTTCTTTAAAATAAATTGGGATTCCTGACTTTTTATGAGCTTATTTTATTGCTTGTATTCTGCTTGCAGTGACATATTGGAGTCATTGGTGAAAACAACTGCACAATTTCAAGAAAATTTTGAAGTTTACATTCAAACTTTGATATCTCAGGCATTGGACTCAAACTTTCTGACAGAAATTTTCCAAGAAAGAGGTAAGCATTTTTCTCCTGTAATGAACAATTCCATCTGTTTTGGAACTTAATTAAACTAATATTGGGTTCTCTTTTCAGACGAATACTTCCTGACCAATGTTAAAACTGTAGATGACATAGTTGCTGATAGAAGGCAACGATTTCTACGCATTGTGAAATGGAGAACCGAACTAGAGGCCAGCATTGCCACCTGGCCATGCTACAATGTTATGTTTGAGCTTGGAGAAGAGTTTAGTAAGAACTGTGCCGCCTGTGATAAGCCCGGGGTTGCTGCAAGAGTACTCCTTTATGGTCAACCTTATAATTCAACTACTTTGGAAGGATGCCAAGCTGATCCTAAGTTAGTTAGTGAGAAGGTAAGACATTTATTTTGCTTTTCAACGGCATATTGTTCAGTAAGACATTGTCAAACTATTGTTTTTATTTTCCAGGACTTTTTAACATGCAGACTATGCTTAAGCAAAATTGAGCTGTACAACAAAGTCGCTCACCAGAAGTACCTGATGTTTATTGAATGTGCCAAGCGTGTCCAAGAAAAAAGACTTGCCGACTCATCAAAAGACACTACCGTTATTCTCAATGAACTGCTTGCAGATGACATATGGCTTCATCAGGTAAAACTTTAACCTTAAAACTTTGCCTTTTTTTAAAAAAAAATTTAGCTTTTCTTGTTTTTAAAGGTCTTTCTCTGTTTCTACAGCTGTTCCGCAATGTCAGATTGTCCTGGGCTGAAATTGACCGTTTGGAGAAAGTATCACTTAAAGAATGAATGCTTGCTTTGAGTGAGGATATGTGATGAGTATGTTGTTCAACATACATCAAAAATCCTGAGTCAATATAGTTGTTTATGGTTCTAAGTCTTAGTGAGTAGAAAATGTTTCATTTAATGATGCTCAAACCTTAAAGGCAGATTGTACCAAAATGTGTGGTTCATCACAGATGCATATTAATACTTTGAGTAGGTTGAAATTAAGGTTATTTTTTAGCCTGTGCTGACCTATTGTTCTGTGTATATATTGAATTGGATGCAAACTAAGCTATTTGTGCCACTGTCAAATTTGTTCTTATTTTATTTTAATATTCTCACTCTTCCGACGTATATTATTAAGAGTTTCTTGTGTCCTGCTTTGTCAATGAGGAGTAGGGTATTACCCAAGTTTTCAGCAAGATTTTGCCTGAGCAAAGTCTGGAATTGTGATAAGGAACTGGTAAATTGGATTTAATCATTAATCTTGCATTTTCTTACGTATGTTCATGTACAAACATACATTGTAATATTTGTAGATAAGTGGATTTATTATACTGTATTTACATGCATATAACACAGAATTACCTGTACATGTATGTATCCCACCCACACTCTGCTTTCAAGGCTTCTAGAATGAAATTTGTAAAATTTCTATGCACACTTTCAGCAGGGTATTGGGAGTATCAAGTCCCCTTGTATATTTGTGCAGTTTATATGCATGTAAATACAGTTCAGTTATAGCCATGGTTTTTATCATTTTGCTTAATTTATATTTGCTCTTTGCATTACCAAGTTAATCAGTTTTTAACTTAAAAACTTAATGTTAAAATCAAACATTTCACAAGTTACTCAAATTATTTGTGCCTGGGAGCCCCAAAATTTTAAACAGATACAGGGTTTTAAAATTTTGATCCTGGTATGTAGAATTTCCAAAGATCACTGAACTTATAGTTCTTTTTTAGATTTTATTGTTGTTGCAGAGTTGCACATAATATGTCTTGTGTTACTGAAGATGATTTTCCTCTCTCTCAACACTCAGTTTTAAAGGCATTCTAGTTGTGGGCTCATCCCACTACCATTTTGAACTCTCTGCTTCATTTGCAATAAAAGACCTAGTGGTAGGGTTACTTTTTTACCTGAACATAGTTTAGGCTTAGATTTGATGTTATGAACAGCCAAATAGAGAGCTTATGGAATGGTGCTAAAGAAATTTTAAAATTTTACCTGTATTTAGGTATGGTTGCCACCCTTGTAGTTAAATACTTGTGCATGAACTGAGATTCACTTTTTCAGTTTGCTTGGCATTATGATTGAAATGAAACAACCTTGGCATTTGATTGCTTATGGTTGTTGCGTAATAAGTATCTCTGAAGCCAAAATGTCTGAAAACATCTTGGAAAATAGGGTAAGGTTTTTAAGTTTTGTGATACCTGGGATAGGTGAGGAAAATGCATGCTGCATTTGATTGTGATATTGAATGCTTTATGAAGTATGAGTCATCCGCAGCAAAGTGCACATTGTTATTGGATTAATAGAAAGATTCAGGGAGTTGTACTGGTTGAGGCTTTTGTCAGAGTTGGCAGTTGGAAAAAGATCTTTTTTATGGAGTAATTTGCTATCTCATATCATTAATCTCAGCAAACTTCCAAATTTCTCTCTTCTCCTTTGCAATGAAAGACTAACCAAGTAAATGAGTTGGCTCTTAGCATCTTTAGTGTTTATTATTTATGTACATTTTGAACTGATTGTATGTGGATAACATTTGCACTGTTATAAAACTGCTGTTTTTAGATTGGAAAAATTGGATTTCCAGGAACCCAGTGAATTTAATGGCATAGACAACTTACATGCTTTATTTTGTGATTATGGGGAATCTTTCTCTTCTTTGGGGGAACAAACTAAAATTGCTCTTAGTTTTGCCAAGAAATGAATTAAAGCAGTGCTAGTGCTGATTGAAATCTAGGAGGCTAAATGATTTGATGTGATGTCGCAATAAAATTTGAGCTTTGAGGAGACATTTTATGGACTGTTTTTTCCAAGATAACTGTTAAAATAAGTTGAGAATGTGTTAAAATATTGAGCACTTCTATTTTGCCTGTACAGATCCTCCATGCACTTGATGTACAGATGTAATATTTAACTGGTGTTGTATTGTTTGGAGAAACAAGCAATTGTATGTTTAACTACCGGGCCAAGATTGCATTGCATTGATGGTATCTAGTACAGTGAATATTATGGTGTCGTTTACATGTTCTTTTCTTTTTGGTAAAAACTGGAGCTTTTCTGAATTGTTTCTTGCACTTTTTAGGTAAACCAATTGGATACTTGTTAATTATTTTCAATAAAGCCCTTGATTTTGCCCCCTGAAACCAAAGTTCATTTCATTGAACCATATTCCAATTAATACCATCGCAAATTGGTTCAACAACAGATTTCAGGGTCTCTTATAGTTTACTATTCTCAATTTAGAAACTCTGCGTGGTTTTCGGGCTTCAGTGGCAAAGGCAGTCGGAGGGAGGCGGCCAAAACTGAAGACGCGTTCTGGGCTCCAGAGTCGCTAAACGGGACTCGAACCGAACGTGTGACCTGGTGTGACCCCACTAATGGCTTCCTCGTTCGGAGAGCAATCCATTGGTGGGGTGTCGCGTTCGGTTCGAGTCCGATTCAGCGACTCTGGAGCTCAGAACGCGTCCGGGATTTTGACCTCCTCCACCGGTCTCTGACCCACTGTGCGCCCCTAGCCTGCCCCTAGCCTGTCTGGGTCGTTGGATTCAATTTGAATCAAGTGTCTGGGCGGTGCATGTTTTGACGTCCACGATGATGGCGGTGCGCTACGCTACGCCTCTGGGGTTGCCAGCGCGGGGCCACAGGCTCCCCGCCGGCTGATTCCGAGAGTCATTTTCGTCGCTCTGTCTCTCTCGCACTGATGGGGCGTCCCGTACAGGTGCGAGAGAGACGTGCAGGCTCCCAGTGGGGTGGGCGTGGGAGCGTGGAGGCTGGCGCACCCTGGCGGCTGGACCAGGAAGCAGCCGACGTGGGCGGAGGCGGCAAGGGGGCGGGGCGGGGCGTCCCGGGTGCCTGCCAGCTCCAGCCAGCACACTGGATCCGCGCGGCTTCCCCTCTCTCCCTCGCACTCGTGGAGGTCTTCGAGTGGGGTCGAGGGAGACAGACCGACGGGGTCTCCGTCTCGGAACGAGCCCGGCCCCGGCCTAGCCCAGGCTCCCTCGCCGGGCCCCGGTCCGGCCAGCGCGTCAGAGCCTAGAGCCAGTACGTGCCCGGGCGCCGAACGACACAGGCTAGCGAGCCGCGCCGCGCGGAGCCAAGCCAAGGCAGCAAAGGCGGGCAGGGCGAGGGCGGCCCCCGGGGGCTGCAGGCTGCGGGCCGACAGGCCGCCTCCGGGCTCCGGCCCACCATGTGAACCTGTGCGCGGCGAAGCGGCACAGCGGCGAAGCGGCAGAGTGCGACTCAGCCAGCACAGCGCGGCACCCAGGACGACCTGCGCCATGGCGGGCGCGGCCAAGCACGGCCTGCTGGCGGTGGCCATCGCCGTGCTGCTGCACCCCGCACCGCTGTGTAAGTAGCCGACGGGCCGGGAGGGGCGGCGGCGACCCCGGCGGCGAGGGGGCGGCGGCGCGCCGACCTGGGACCTGCATATAATTGGCCGCGAGCTCCATGCGCTGCGCACGGTGGGCCAGAAGACCGGTGGAGGCGGCCAAAACTCTAGACGCGTTTTGAGCACCAGAGTTGATAAGCAGGACTCGAACCGAACGTGTGACCCCACCAATGGATTCCTCGTTCGGAGAGCGATCCATTGGTGGGGTCACACGTTCGGTTCGAGTCCCATTTAGCGACTCTGGAGCTCAAAACGCGTCTGGAGTTTTGGCCGCCTCCACCGGTCTTCTGGCCCACTGTGCTGCGCTGCGCTGCCTGGACCTGCCCCGAGGTTGCCCGGGGGCCGGAGGCTGAGTCGCTGCAGGGTGGCGGGGCGTGGTGGGTGGGGCGGGGCGTCAACAGTTGTCTCGCTCACCGACGGGCCCCTCGCTCGCGCAGCGGACTGCTTCCGAGAGTCGCTCTGTCTCTCTCGCACTCAGAGGGCATCCCGCGTCGGTGCGAGTGGGACAGAGCGACGGAAAGGATTCTCGGAATGGGGCTGGGCTGGGGGGTGGCCGCTTGGAGCTGCGACGTGCAAATGATGCCGAATCGACATGGCTGCGCCGCCGCGCTGCGCGCCGCCGCTGGATCCGCCCCTGCATGGTGATGACTGGGCGGTGCCCCCGGCGTCCCGCACAGTGGGCCAGAAGACCGGTGGAGGCGGCCGAAACTCTAGACGCGTTTTGAGCTCCAGAGTCACTAAATGGGACTCGAACCGAACGTGTGACCCCACCAATGGATCGCTCTCCGAACGAGGAATCCATTGGTGGGGTCACACGTTCGGTTCGAGTCCTGTTTAGCGACTCTGGAGCTCAAAAAGCGTCTAGAGTTTCGGCCGCCTCCACCGGTCTTCTGGCCCACTGTGCCGCGGAGCCCCGCCGAGCGGTGTGTCGACGACGTCGAATCCACGCCGCCCTGCCTCTCTTACCCTCAAGCCATCTCTCTCCCTCAGTTTTTCCCTCCTACTCCCTGTCAACTCCTCCCACTCCCTCCCACTATCCCTCTCTCACTCCCTCTGTGGGGACAAAGGGAGCGCCCCGCTGGGAACAAAGAGCTCACGTTGACAACCCGACAATTCCTTCGAATTCGTCTCCCAGCGAATGCATTTCGTACACCCTAAATGTTTTTGTGCGGATGAAACTACGCACAAATTTGTTCGCGATTTCGCACAAATATGTGCAGTTTTTCGTGCGAAATTTGTATGAATAAAAGTTCGTTGGCACAAAAAAACCTCTGATGTTGCGTTCAAAATTGTTCATAACCTTTGGTGTGTACCATACAGATTTTCTTCTTATTCCAGTCGTTCCCTTTGATGCCACAGTTAATTTTTTGAGCGCAGTTTGCTTGCTATCGGCTGGCGGGCGCACAGTGGGCCAGAAGACCGGTGGAGGTGGACAAAACTCTGGACGCGTTTTGAGCTCCAGAGTCGCTAAACAGGATTAGAACCGAACGTGTGATCCCACCAATGGACTCCTCGTTGGGAGAGCAATCCATTGGTGTGATCTCACGTTCGGTTCCAGTCCCATTTAGGGACTCTGGAGCTCAAAACGCGTCTAGAGTTTTGTCCGCCTCCACCGGTCTTCTGGCCCACTGTGCAGCGTTTCCTACGTCAGCTCCGTTCCGAACTTGGCATGGTCGGCCCTCCTCACTCAAGGAGGTCTGTCTGATTCCGGGGAGCCGAAAGAGGAGAAAAAGGTGAAAGAGGGATTTCAATGGAAGCGTTCTACGAACAGGCCGCGCACGCTTTTGGACCATGCCAACATACTCAACGGAAAACCCTGAGGCCTGTGAGGGTCCGTACGACGTTCCCGGAACGGCAAAGCTGCCTGCACGCAGTGGCAGCGCAGATGTTTCGAAAAAAGGGGAGGGGGCGGGGGCGGGGGCCAAGCAACGCTTTCAGCCCTATTTCAGCCGCCTGTCTGGCGCCAAAAGGAGGGGCATTCCCCTTTTTAAAAATTTACAGTGGCACGTCACCATGTCACTTAACCGCACTGCCGACTCGCACGGTAGAAACGGTTCCTGGTTTTCAACTTCCTGGAAATCACCTGTGTCTTAGGGAAAACCAGGATCTGTTTTTACCGTGCGCAGCCCCATGACGTTTCAATAAGGTGCCATGGGGATTGGCTCATAAAATCCCACGCAATTAGTGAGTTTTTTTTTTTTTTTTTGGGGGGGGGGTGCTGAAAATTTTGTAAAATCGCGTAGCAATTCGTCTTGACGCGTTCACTGTGTGACGCGTGCCCAGAGACGATTCGGCTGAACTCTGCCAGCCTTGCGTGAAGCCAAGTCAAGTTTGAGGAGCGCCCGCGAACGGCGGGATAGGCAACAACTCGCACGGCGGAGGAGCGGGCTGCCTAACCTCTCGACCACAGGGGCTCCCGCGTCCCGACAAGCAGCGACGAGTCGCTAAAGAGGACTCGAACCGAACGTGTGACCCCACCAATGGATTCCCCGTTCGGAGAGCAACCCATTGGTGGGGTCACACGTTCGGTTCGAGTCCCAATTAGCGACTCTGGAGCTCAAAACGCGTCCGCGGGATTTGGCCGCATCTTCCGGCCTAGGCTATGCCCGTAGGCGATCCCTGTGAATGGTACAACCTGTGGCCACACAGCCTGTTACAGGGGGGGGGGGGGTGTCCCAGGCCATAGGCAAGCCCTGTGCATGGGCCGGAAGGGGGCTAGGTCATGCCTGCTGTAGGCAAGCTGTGAATGGGAGCTACCTGTGGCCACACAGCCTGTTCCGAGGGGGGCCACGCAGGGGGGGGGGGGGGGAATAGGGCTAGGGCTTCAGCAGCCCTGAGCCCCAAGAGTGAATGAGACGCCTCGACCTCCACCCACCCCCTTTTGCACCCCATTTGCACCCCCCACCCCCCCCCCTCCCCCCCAAGCATGCGCGGTTTTGGCGCACCCCGCGGGGACCACGCTATCGACCGCCAGGCCCAGGACCACCCAACCGCCCCCCCCCTCCCCCCCCCCCTCCCCCCCCCCCCCCTCCCCCTCCCCCCCTCCCTCCAGCGCGTCGGGACGTCCTTGAACGCCCAGCATCCCCCCCTCTTCCCCGTCCGGACTCGGCAGGAAAGGAGACCGAGTCGGAGGCCTCCCTCTCTCTCTCTCTCTCTCTCTCTCTCTCTCTCTCTCTCTCTCTCTCTCTCTCTCTCTCTCTCTCTCTCTCTCGCACCCATGGGGCGGCCCGCGTGAGAGTGAGAGAGACAGAGCGAGGGGTCTCCCTGTGAGGGCGCAGACTGGTTCCGAGCGTCGCATTCGCCGCTCTGTCCCTCCCGCACTCATGGACGGCGTTCCGTGCAGGCGCGAGAGAGACAGAGCGAGAAAAACGACTCTCGGTCTACAGCGAGGCACGCGCGGCACACTGGCTGGCTCGCTGCCGCCTCTTTGATCGTGACGTCACCAATTCATTGTATAACGCCACCAGGGATGATTCCGCGCAGCGCGTTTCGTCGCCCTGTCTCTTTCGCACCCGCGCGGCACTGCGGCACGCACCGTGAGTGCGACAGAGACTGGTGTGTCCCAGGCCGGACGGGTCAGAAGACCGGTGGCGGCGACCAAAACTCTAGACGCGTTTTGAGCTCCAGAGTCGCTAAGTGAGACTCGAACCGAACGTGTGACCCCACCAATGGATTCCTCGTTCGGAGAGCAATCCATTCGTGGGGTCACAAGTTCGGTTCGAGTCCCGTTTAGCGACTCTGGAGCTCAAAACGCGTCTGGAAGTTTGGCCGCTTCCACCGGTCTTCTGGCCCACTGTGCGTCGCCGAGCTGCTGCGCTGGGATGGCGGTGTGGATGGCACGGACAGTCCGATGGGATTAGTACGGCAAACTACAGCGAGTCCCTTCCTTTCCCTTCGCCAAGTCCCCCCTCCCCCCGCCCCCTCCCTCCCCTCCACGCCCCGCCCCCGGTCCTTCGGTTCGCCCCACCCGCGGGGCTAACGGCGGGGGCCTACCCGGGGCGAGGCCTTCGCGGGCCGGCCCTGGGCCCTGCGAGGCCCTGCGAGGCCCTGCAGGCCCTGCGAGGGCCCTTCCAGGGGCTGGGAGGGGGCGTCCATTCATAGCCATGTGGTATGTGGCGGGGCGCGGCGGAGGCACGCCGTCGCCGGGGAGGGGAGGGGGTAATTTCAGTGCCTGGCGCTCGGATTTGCCCCCACCCCCCGTCCAGCTTCCAGGGTGGCTCGGCCTGGTCGGGGCCTGGCCGGGCCCCCCACCCCCGCTGCGGGGGCGGCTTGGCAGTCTCTCTCTGGGTCTGTCTCTCCCTCTCAGAGTCCCTCTGAGTCTCTCTCTCTCTGTTCTCCATGGTCGGGACGGTCCACGAGCCGGAGCCTCGCCTCTCTCTCTTTCTCTCTCTCTCTCTCTCTCTCTCTCTCTCTCTCTCTCTCTCTCTCTCTCTCTCCTCTCTCTCTCACCTTGTCGGTCGCGGCTCTGGTTCGACAGTCTGGCGTCTGGCCTTGCAAACGTCATTACTCCACTCGACCCTGGCTATTCCAACGCGGCAACGCTTACAGTGTACACCGCCAACTTCAACTTGGTACCGGAATCGCTTTAAACCTCGCGCTGAGGATGGGGCGACGACGCGACTCCAGCCAGATCCCTTCATTCTTGTTGTTGGCTGCCTTGGCTGCCTTCGCTGCCGGCTGAATGGAGACCGAGGCCAGATCGCGTCTGCGTGGGACGACACTACGCCCACGTCGTCTCTCTCTCTCTCTCTCTCTCTCTCTCTCTCTCTCTCTCTCTCTCTCTCTCTCCTCTCTCTCTCTCTCTCTCTCTCTCTCTCTCTCTTCTCTCTCTGTCTCTCTCTCTCTCTCTTTCTCTCTCCCTCTCTCTCCCCCACCCCTCTCGCCGTCCCACCGCCCTCCCCCGTCTCGGAGACAAACATCCCCCCGGCCTGCAAGCGGCCCGCACCCGCCGCCGACTCCACCGAGTGGCTGCCGAAGGACGACCAGCGGCGCAGCGCTCTGTCTCTCTCGCACCCCCACGGTACCTACGGTGCCCCACGGGACGCGTCGTGAGTGCGAGAGAGACAGAGAGCGTCGCAGCTCAATCAAGACGTGAGGCAGGAGGCCTCCGACTGCCGCGAAACGCGACAACAGCGCGCGTTTTTTTTTTGGTGTTTGTGTTGTTTTTGTTTGCGAGTAAGCAAATTGTTGTTTTTGTGTGTTGCAGTGGTGGAAGCCCACCAGAACGCCAGCGGGGACCCATGGTGGCATGCCTCTTCCGCGGTGTCCCACAGAGGTAAGGCACACTGCTAAAGCAGGCGAAAGCTATCACTTTTCTAATTTTTTCTGCGAGTGTGACGCTACAGCGCAAAGTGGGCCAGGAGACCGGTGGAGGCGGTCAAAACCCCGGACGCGTTTTGATCTCCAGAGTCGCTACATGGGACTCGAACCGAACGTGTGACCCCACCAATGGAATGCTCTCCGAACGAGGAATCCATTGGTGGGGTCACACGTTCGATTCGAGTGATTCACTTCTGGCCCACTGTGCAACGTGGATCCTGTCACGCTCGTTTGACCATTCGTCACGTGCATTCAAGTTCGAAGGGCGCGTCACGGTCAAACGATCGTGACAAGACGTGACAAGACGTTGAAACGAACGCCACATTCGTTGGATAACATCAAGTTTTCTCTCCCTGTCTCTCCTATTTTCGTTTACGACACGAATTGAGTTTTTTGACGGTGCTCGTGCAGGTGCGGCCCGCCCCAACCGGCCCTACGTTTTCCACGACCTCGCGCATCCCCAGCGCGCCCAGCCCAACCTACCGGACCAGCTCGCTACGTGAGTGCAAGCCACTTGTTCATTTACAGAGACGCTCGAAATCAAAACAGCAAGAAAAAAAAACCAAACCCACGAGGATTTGAACGTCAGTCCTTGACCTTGAAGAACGGCGTCTCTACGCACTCGGCCACCGAAAAGCGGTTCTTAGCGTTTTGCCCAGTCGCTGCTGCGCCATGGCTCTGCTAGGCTCCGCCTCGCGAGCACCTACAACTTATTCCTGAGACGTTCATTTCGCTGGCGGCGATCCAGTTGGAGTCGGAGTGCCAGGAGGCGGAGGAGGGAGAATTAGGGGGAGGGGAGGGGGGGAGAGGGGGAAGAGGGGGGAGAGGGGGGAAGAGGGGGGCTGCTTGGTGATGCATCCCCCGCATGGAGGGAGGCCCTTCAGCATAGCAGTATGTAAGCCAAAATATCAAGCCCTGCCCGTTCTCAAGTTCAAAAGAGAGACACAGCTGGTGCCACACCCAGAAAAATGGTTTCTTGATTTTTCATTTTCTTGGTTTTCTATGAGAAAAAAAGTCTCAAAACAAGAATTTTTAATTTTTGCATACAAAAATTTTTTTGGATAAAGAAAATTTTTTTGAAAAACAAACAAGAAAAGTTAATTTTTCTTTATCAAAGAACTCATTTTAGGGGGGTGCAAAGCCCTTGCGCAGCGAAAAATTTAAAAAAAAACATCGATAAATCGGGATTTGAACCGCGGTCCTCGATGTTTGCAGCGGCTTGGCATACCGTCACGGAGGCAAGGTGCCCGGCATGATGCACCTGCCTTTCATACCGGGCCGGACCACGCCCCACCACCCCGTGCACTACGACGACCTGGAGATGGAAACGTACAACCGGCTGAACCGACCGAGGCCCAACATGCCCTGCCGGCCCTGCCCCAAGGGCATGTACCTCTGCCAGTGGGAGTGCTCCTGCATCCCGGAGAAGCTCAGGTACGCCAACACTCCATTTCTTTAAAAAAAAAACGAAAAAATATTGGAGGATTTGAACCTATGACTTTCAACTTTCGGTTTGATAACCAAAAAAAGCTCAAACACTCCAACCTCTGAAAAAAAAAAAACGAAAAAATATTGGAGGATTTGAACCTATGACTTTCAACTTTCGGTTTGATAACCAAAAAAAGCTCAAACACTCCAACCTCTCTAAAAAAACACAAAAAAAAAACCAACTTATTTGAGGATTTGAACCTATGGATTCCGGTTTCAAAACTGATGACCATGACCGCGCGGCTATGCGGCTGTGCAGGTGCGACAACGCCAAGGACTGCACGATGGGCGAGGACGAGATGGAGTGCGACAAGGAGTGCGAGGGCCCCGGCAAGGTGCGCTGCCCGGTGACGAGCAGGTGCATCGCCACGCACTGGGTGTGCGACGGCACCGACGACTGCGGCGACGCCTCCGACGAGATGCAGTGCTGTAAGAAGGGCAATGGGTCAACGGGGACGGCTCCACAGTGGGCCAGAAGACCGGTGGAGGCGGCCAAAACTCCAGACGCGTTTTGAGCTCCAGAGTCGCTAAACAGGACTCGAACCGAGTGTGTGACCCCAGCAATGGATTACTCTCCATGCGAGGAGTCCATTGGTGGGGTCACACGTTCGGTTCGAGTCCTATTTAGCAACTCTGCAGCTCAAAACGCGTCCGGGATTTTGACCGCCTCCACCGGTCGTCTGGCCCACTGCGCGGGCTCGAGCTAATGGCTTTTGTTTCGATTTGACGCGCAGCCTCGGCGATCAACTGCACGAACAAGGAGTTCTCCTGCTCAAACGGCTACTGCGTTCCGCAAACCTGGAAGTGTGACGGTGACAACGACTGCAGGGACAACTCGGACGAGCACAACTGCACCACCACGTCAGTGTCCAACCAAATCAATTTCTAAATTTAAAAAAACAACAACAACAAAAACATGAGTCAGAAACGATGATAAAATTGCCTTCAGGCCTTGCCTGGAGAACCAGTTCGCCTGCGGGGACCTGACGTGCATCCCGGCGGAGGACCACTGCAACCAGGTCATGGACTGCCCCGACCAGTCGGACGAGGAGAATTGCGGTGAGTACCGGCCCGGCGATCGAGCCCGCACTGGGGTTTGCCAGAAGACCGGTGGAGACGGCCAAAACTCTAGACGCGTTTTGAGCTCCAGAGTCGCTAACCAGGACTCGCGCCGAGCGTGTGACCCCCCACCAATGGATTCCTCGTTCGGAGGGCGATCCATTGGTGGGGTCACACGTTCGGTTCCAGTCCCATTTAGCGACTCTGGAGCTCAAAACGCGTCCGTGATTTTGGCCGCCTCCACCGGTCTTCTGGCCCACTGTGGCTGCAAGGGCGCTGACGCTGACCTTCCACTCGCAGACGCGGACGTGATAGCGTGCGACCCCGTGGCCGAGTTCGCGTGCCGCTACCCGCTGTGCATCCTGGAGGAGTACCGCTGCGACGGCGACAACGACTGCGGCGACTGGAGCGACGAGGAGGGATGCCCGCGCCGCACCGGCCTCAACTGCGTCCCGGGCGACTTCCAGTAAGCACCTCAAACTGACAAGGATCTTTCGAAAATAGAAGTTAAAGAATGAATAAATTTTTTAAAAAGTGAAACAAAAATAAAAAATAAAATTTTAAAATTCTCGAAAACAGTCCTTGAACCACATGGGTGACCGGCGGAGGCGGCAAAAGACTCTCGAAGCGCTTTTAGCTCCAGAGTCGCTAAACAGGACTCGAACCGAACGTGTGACCCCACCAATGGATTCCTCGTTCGGCGAGCAATCCATTGGTGGGGTCACACGTTCGGCTCGAGTCCCATTTAGCGACTCTACAGCCGAATCCCTTGGGCAATGTTTTCTGAATGGCAAAGCAGTGACTGACGAGCCGCCGTGTTGCAGGTGCCTCTCCGGGGACTGCGTGCCGGGGCGGCAGCGCTGCAACGGCGAGCGCGACTGCGAGGGCGGCGAGGACGAGCTGGACTGCGGCCCGGCCTCGGGCATGGCGCAGGAGGCCACCTGCACCACGGGGCAGCACGCCTGCTCCAACGGCTACTGCATCGACCTGGCCTGGCTGTGCGACGGCACGGACGACTGCCCGCACGGCGAGGACGAGAAGGCCTGCGACGCCGTGGTCTGCAACAACCTGACGCACTACACGTGCAGCAAGGAGGAGGCCGCCGTCACCACGCCCGCGCCCCAAGCGCCGCCCGCCGCCGGCTTCAGTCTGCAGGCCATGCTGGACGTGCCGGCCGGCTTCAGCTGCATCCCCAAGAAGCACGTGTGCGACGGCAAGACGGACTGCCTGGCCGGGGACGGTGAGTCAAGGACTCCGTGGCACAGTGGGCCAGAAGACCGGTGGAGGCGGCCAAAACTCCAGACGCGTTTTGAGCTCCAGAGTCGCTGAACTGAACTCGAACAGAACGTGTGACCCCACCAATGGATTGCTCGTTCGGAGAGCAATCCGTCGGTGGGGTCACACGTTCGGTTCGAGTCCTATTTAGGGACTCTGGAGCTCAAAACGCGTCTAGAGTTTTGGCCGCCTCCACCGGTCTTCTGGTCCACTGTGCGTGGTGGGCCAGAGCCAGCAGTCGAAATCCCGGACGCGTTTTGCGCTCCAGAGTCGCTAAATGGGACTCGAGCCGAACGCGTGACCCCACCGATGGATTGCTCTCCGAACGAGGAATCCATTAGTGGGGTCACACGTTCGGTTCGAGTCCCATTTAGCGACTCCGGAGCTCAAAACGCGTCTAGAGTTTCGGCCGCCTACGCCGGTCTTCTGGCCCACTGTGCAGCGTGATTTGTTCTGTCCGTTTGTTCCTAACGTGGCTACACTGGTCCTCGCAGACGAGCGCGACTGCCCCGTGCCGCGCAACTGCTCCTCGTCGTCGGGCTGCTCGCAGCTGTGCATGGCGACGGTGGACGCGCGCGAGGTGTGCGCGTGCCGGCCGGGCTACCGCCTGGCGGCGGACGGCCAGAGCTGCGAGGACGTGGACGAGTGCCTGGACGAGTGGGACCCGCCCTGCCAGCAGGACTGCACCAACACGCCGGGCAGCTTCACGTGCTCCTGCCGCTCCGGCTACGTGCTGCGGCCCGACAAGCGCAGCTGCAAGAGCGTCGAGGCGGCCGCCACGCTGCTGCTCACCAACCGCGTCGACATCCGCCAGGTGAGCCAGCGACACCCATCCCGGACGCGTGCAGAGCTCCAGAGTCGCTAAATGGGACTCGAACCGAACGTGTGACCCCACCAATGGATTGCTCTTCGAACGAGGAATCCATTGGTGGGGTCACACGTTCGGTTCGAGTCCTGGTTCAGCGACTCTGGCGGACAAAATCCTGGATGAGTTTTGAGCTCCAGAGTCGCTAAATGGGACTCGAACCGAACGTGTGACCCCACCAATGGATTGCTCTGCGAACGAGGAATCCATTGGTGGGGTCACACGTTCGGTTCGAGTCCTGTTCAGCGACTCTGGAGCTCAAAACGCGTCTGGAGTTCTGGCCGCCTCCACCGGTCTTCTGGCCCACTGTGCTTCGCCACTCACGCGCGCTCTCCGCAGGTGAACCTGAACAACGGCCGGTCCCGCACCGTGCTCAAGGGCCTGCAGAACGCCGTGGCGCTCGACTTCAACTGGCGCGAGGGCGCCATCTACTGGTCCGACTACTCGATGCACGTCCTCAAGAAGGCCACCATCAACGGCAGCCTGGAGCACGACGTGATGCGCTGGGGGCTGCAGAACGTGGTGGGCCTGGCCGTGGACTGGGTGCACAACCTGCTGTTCTGGAGCGACTCGGAGCTGCGCCGCGTCGACGTGGCCAACCTGGACGGCTCCATGCCCACCACCATCGCGCACACGGACCTGGACAAGCCGCGCGACGTGGCCGTGCACCCCGGCGAGGCGGCCGTCTTCTGGACCGACTGGGGTGAGAGGCTTCGCCATGGCTTCGCCGAGACCGGTGGAGGCGGCCGAAACTCTAGACGCGTTTTGAGCTCCAGAGTCACTAAGCAGGACTCGAACCGAACGTGTGACCCCACCAATGGATCCCTCGTTCGGAGAGCAGTCCATTGGTGGGGTCACACGTTCGGTTCGAGTCCCATTTAGCGACTCTGGAGCTCAAAACGTGTCCGGGATTTGGACTGCTTCCACCAGGCTTCTGGCTCACTGTGCTTAGGATCAAATCCCGCTAAAACCAGCTTTTTTTTATAAATTTACAATATTAAGTCTAATGATTAGTTTGCTGCTCTTGACTAGCTCCACAGTTGAACTAATCCCTTTTTTTAACGTGCAGGCCCCAAGCCGAAACTCGAGCGGTGTGAGATGAACGGGCAGAACCGGCGCGCCATCGTGACCCAGGGCGTGGTGTGGCCCAACGGGCTGGCCCTGGACTACGACACGAACCGCATCTTCTGGGCCGACGCCATGCACCACGTGATCGAGAGCGCCGACCTGGACGGCAAGAACCGCAAGGTGGTGCTGTCCAAGGGGCTGCCCCACCCGTTCGCCCTCACCATCTTCGAGGACATGGTGTACTGGACCGACTGGCACACCCGCAGCGTCCTGGGCGCCAACAAGGACACCGGCAAGCGGGTGCACGTCGTGCTGGACCGCCTGCACATCCCCATGCAGATCCACAGGTACAGCGCGCCGGAAGACCGGTGGCGGCGGCCAAAATCCTGGACGCGTTTTGAGCTCCAGAGTCGCTAAATGGGACTCGAACCGAACGTGTGACCCCACCAATGGATTGCTCTCCGAACGAGGAATCCATTGGTGAGGTCAGACTTTCCGTTCAAGTCCTGGCTAGCGACTCTTGAGCTCAAAACGCGTCTAGAATTTACACCGGCTCCACCGATCTGTGGAGCCCTTTGGAACCAACATGTGATTTACGGTGGCGTGTCCGCTTGCAGCTGCCACCCGAAGCGACAGCGTTCCTACCGGGACCACTGCCCGCGCGGCAACAGGGGCTGCTCGCACATGTGCCTCCCCAACGCCAAGGGCTTCACCTGCGTCTGCCCCGTCGGCGTCACCTTGGGTCCGGACAAGTACGTCATCCAGTACCCCATCTTGCCTCCGGCCGGTTCCGACGCTGCGGCCCAGAAGGCCGTTAGAGAGGCGGTCAAAATCCCGGACGCGTCTTGAGTTCTCGAGTTGCTTAGTGGGTTTGCCCCCACCAATGGATTGCCCTCCGAACGAGGAAGCCATTGGTGGGGTCGCACGTTCGGTTCGAGTCCTGTTTAGCGACTCTGGAGCTCAAAACGCGTCTAGAGTTTCGGCCGCCTCCACCGGTCTTCTGGCCCACTGTGGTGCGGTGGAGACAACAACTCACCCCCTCGTCTTGCAGGCGCACGTGCGAGTACATGCCGAAGAGCGTGCTGGTGTACGTGCGCAAGAAGGAGGTGCGCCTGCGGGAGATCACGGGCTCGGCGTCCGGCGGGGCCGACCGCGACAGCCCCACCGTGGCCCTGGGGCTGGGCGCGGCCGCGCGCGACGTAGTGCTGCCCGTGGACGAGATTCGCCACGCGCAGGCCGTCACCTGGGACGCCCAGGACGACTCCATCTTCTGGAGCGACTACAAGTCCGCCGCCATCTCCAGGGCACGGCGCGACGGCTCCGAGCAGCGCGTCATCATTAACACCGACCTGGGTGGGTGGCTCTGTCACGCTGTCACGCTGTCACTCTGTCACACTGTCACTTTGTCACGCTGTCACTCTGTCACGCTGTCACTCTGTCACGCTGTCACACTGTCGCACTGTCACTCTGTCACACTGTCACGCTGTCACTCTGTCGCTATGTCTCTGTCACTCCGTCACTCTGTCACTCTGTCAATCTGCCACTGTGTCACTCTATCACTTTGTCACTGTCACTCTGTCACTTTGTCACTTTGTCACTCTGTCACTCTGTAACTGTCACTGTGTCACTCTGTCCCACTGTCACTCTGACCGCCGGCCTCCCTTCCCTCCCCGCAGAGGACCCCATGGGGCTGGCCATCGACTGGGTGCGTCGGCGCCTGTACCTGTCGGACCACAAGAGCCGGCGCATCGAGACGACGAACCTGGAGGGCAACAAACGCGTGGTGCTGCTGTGGAACCTGTCGGGGCCGCGGCACCTGGCGCTGTGGCCGGCCGGCGGGCTCATGTTCTGGTCCAGCTGGGGCGGCTCCAAGCAGCTCATCGAGGTGGCGGGCATGGACGGCAAGAAGCGCAAGGCCTTCATCTCGGACCGCCTAATCTCCCCCGGCGCGCTCGCCGTCGACCAGGAGCACAGGCGGCTCTACTGGAGCGACCCCGGCCTCGGCGTCATCGAGAGCGTCAGCGTGGACGGCACGGACCGCCGCATGGTGAAAGGTGAGGCCAGCCGGGCCCGCCGCACAGTGCGCCAGAAGACCGGTGGAGGCGGTCGAAATCCCGGACGCGTTTTGAGCTCCAGAGTCGCTGAACAGAACTCGACCTGAACGTGTTACCCCATGGATCGCTATCCGAAGGAGGAATCCATTGGTGAGGTCAGACTTTCCGTTCGAGTCCTGGTTAGCGACTCTGGAGCTCAAAACGCGTCCAGAGTTTCGAAAAATATTTCAACTAACCCGAGGTGCAGCTTATTTGGTTGTTTTCCTGGCGACTACTGACGACTTGTTCGGATTCCGCAGACGGCCTGCCGCACCCGCTGGGGCTGGACGTGTACGGCGACCGCCTCTACTGGACCGACTCCAAGACCAACGACATCAACCTGCTCTTCAAGGAGGAGAACTACACGGTGCGGGCGGGCGTGACGGGCCTGCTGGGCATCAGCGTCTTCCACCAGCGTCGCACGCAAGTGATCACTGCCTGCGAAAATGTAGGTCGCAACCAGTGGGCCAGAAGACCGGTGGAGGCGGCTAAAACCATAGACGCGTTTCGAGCTCCAGAGTTGCTAAACAGGACTCGAACCGAGCGTGCGACCCCACCAATGGATTCCTCGTTCGGAGAGCAATCCTTTGGTGGGGTCACACGTTCGGTTCGAGTTCCATTCGGTGACTCTGGAGCTCGAAACGCGTCGGGGGTTTTGACCGCCACCACCGGTCTTCTGGCAAAGCCACCGTGTATCGCCGTCCTGGCGGTCTTCGCTGACCTCAAGCCTGCCCGCAGATCGGCAACTACGGCTGCTCCCACGTGTGCCTGCTGGCCAACAACCCCGACCTGGCGGGCTGCGCGTGCCCCGTGGGCTGGCGGATGATCCCCGGCGGCGACGGCAAGACGTGCGAGCTGCAGCCGGGCCCTACCTGCTGCTGGCGCGGCGCAACGACGTCCGCAAGGTGCCGCTCGGCATGCCCTACATGATGGACGTGCTGCTGGGCTACATGGGCCTGGAGAACACGGTGGCCGTGGACGCCGACAAGGAGACCGGCGAGATTTACACCAGCGACACCGTCGAGTCCTCCATCACCAGGGCGGCGCCCGGCGGCGACAGCGGCCACCCCATCGTCTCCAGCGGGATCGACACGCCCTACGGCCTCGCCGTGGACTCGGTCGGCAAGAAGGTGAGTCAAGGTCACGCACAGTGGGCCAGAAGACCGGTGGAGGCGGCCAAAACTCTCAACGCGTTTTGAGCTCCAGAGTCGCTAAATGGGGACCCGAACCGAACTTGTGACCCCACCTATGGCTTGCTCTCCGAACGAGGAATTCATTGGTGGGGTCACACGCTCGGTTCGAGTCCTGTTCAGCGACTCTGGAGCTCAAAACGCGTCTGGAGTTTTGGCCGCCTCCACCGGTCCTCTGGCCCACTGTGCACCGCCTAGGTCAAGTGCTGATTCTTCGATATTTACAATACAAGCTCAAATTTAAAATAAAATCTTTATTTTTTTCTTGATTGACGGTGTTTAATTGTTGGGTGTTAATCCTGTAATTTCTCGCCCCAGATCTACTGGACGGACTCCGGACGACGCATCATCGAGGTGGCCGAGCTGACGGGCAAAAATAGGAAGGTGCTGGTGTGGGAGGACCTGCGCAACCCCTGCGCGCTCGCGCTGGACTACTCCGAGGGCCTCATGTTCTGGTCGGACTGGGACCAGCCGAACGGCCGCATCGAGCGAGCCCACATGGACGGCCGCGAGCGGTAAGCGCCGTCCTCCGTGCCGAGCACAGTGGGCCAGAAGACCGGTGGAGGCGGCCAAAACTCCAAACGCGTTTTGAGCTCCAGAGTCGGCAAATGGGACTCGAACCGAACGTGTGACCCCACCAATGGATTGCTCTCCGAACGAGGAGTCCATTGGTGGGGTCACACGTTCGGTTCAAGTCCTGTTCAGCGACTCTGGAGCTAAAAACGCGTCTAGAGTTTCGGCCGCCTCCACCGTTCTTCTGGCAAGTCCGCTGTGGAGGGGGCAGGCAGGCCCGGACTGGCCAGGGCATTTGGGCAGAAAAATATGCCGGGGCCCCGGCGTTGTCGGGGCCCCCAACTTACAGTTGCGAGGCCTCTGTGGCCGCTGAGCCTCAAATAGACCCGAAATAACTTTAATTCGTAGTGCTGCCCCCTTCAAACTGGCAGGAATTGCATTTTAAACACACAATAGGCCTTGGCTTTTAGCTCGCTTCGCTCGCATAGAATGCGGAATCGCGTGAAACGAATCTATCATCAGCTCGATGAGTTCCGAGCAGGCCAGGTCAGTCCTGAAAAACTTGCAACAATGTTTAGTTTGCTGTGAACCAGCTACTAAAAGATATGCATGTTTCGTTTCGTCATTTGGGAGAAATTAAATTGCATTAGAAAAATTTGAAGGCTCGCTTCGCTCGCAGTTTACCGCTGCTAATGTTTTGCTGCTAGATAGAAACTAACCCTGGGTAATTTATCATTTCTCACAATTTCAGAGTCAGGGAAAATCACAAGGGTTGTCGTAACAAATTTATCTAGAGGATTTCGACTTGCGAGGAGGGGGGAGCAGCGGCCCTTTTGACAATTTTCTGCCGGGGCCCTCTATGAGCCAGTCCGGCCCTGGGGGCAGGGTGTGACGCTGATGCCGGGCTGCTTGTCCAGAACCCGCATCGTGACGGACAACATGGGCTGGGCGGGCGGCATGGCGGTGTACGAGAACCGCCTGTACTGGTCCGACGTGATGCTCCTGACGGTGGAGTCCGCCAAGTTCGACGGCTCGGAGCGCGTGCTGCTGCTGCAGCGCCTCCGCGAGCAGCCGGCGGGGCTGGCCGTGCTCGGCGGCAACATCTACTTCGGCTACCGCGGCGCGTCCGGCGCGCTGCACCGCGTGCCGCTGCCCAAGAGCGGCCCCGTCAACGTCACCGAGGACAGCGTCATCCGCCCGGGGCTGCCCGACCTGCTGGACGTCAGGGCCATCGACGTGAGTAGCGCGCGTAGCGCGGCCGCGAGGGGAAGGGAGAGGAGGGAGAGAGAGAGAGAGAGAGAGAGAGAGAGAGAGAGAGAGAGAGAGAGAGAGAGAGAGAGAGAGAGAGAGATTGATTGATTGATTGATTTATTTTAGGTACTTGACAACGAGACTGGGAAGTCCCACGAGCGTCAGTACCGCTCTCACAAGATATTAACATGATTGAAAACATACATTTTACAAATACTTAAGAAATACAGTGTCACAGTCCAGAGGATGACTAATATTTATTGAGGAGTTGACATTTCAGGTTGTTTTTAAAAGTAGTAACATTTCCATACTTAAGGAATTTGAAGCCAGAAAACTTGTTAAAAGCATGAATGGCACTTGGAGAGATGGAGAGAGGAGAGAGGAGAATGGAGAGAGAGAGAGAGAGAGAGAGAGAGAGAGAGAGAGAGAGAGAGAGAGAGAGAGAGAGAGAGAGGAGGGGGTAGCGCCTGTGAAGTCAGGGGTAGGCCGGCCCGCAGAACACAGTTGTGGAGCGGGCTGCCTACCCGGCACTCTGCAGGCGTTCTGAAGCGTTGTGCGTGCGAGTGAGTGATGATCATGTGTGGTCTAGCCCTTAATGGTAATGGTAATGGCGTCGGGGGTAGACCGGCCCGCAGAACACAGTAGTAAAGCGGGCTGCCTACTCGGGACTCCGCAGGCGCTCTAAAACCTCGTCAGCGTCTCACAGTAGGCGAGAAAAACAGTTGAAGCGGTCGAAATGACGGACGCGTTTTGAGCTCCAGAGTCGCTAAATGGGACTCGAACCGAACGTGTGACCCCACCAATGGATTCCTCGGTCTGAGAGCAATCCATTGGTGGGGTCGCACGTTCGGTTCGAGTCCCATTTAGCGACTCTGGAGACCAAAACCTGTCCGGGATTTGACCGCCTCCGCCGGTCTTCCGGCCCACTGCGGCATCGTTGACCCTCGTCTTTGTCCCGCAGCCCGGCCAGCTGGCCGAGAACGTGTGCGCGGACGCGCCCTGCTCCGACCTGTGCCTGCGCGCGCCGCCGCCGGCCCGCTACACCTGCGAGTGCCCCACGGGCGTGCTCATGAGCCGCGACGGCGTGACGTGCGACAAGAACGTGACGGACATGCTGGTGTTCGCGACGCCGGACGGCCTGGCGCGCATCGCCGTCAACTCGCTGCAGCGCTTCCACGACGTGCTCCTCGACGTGCCGCTCATCCAGAAGGCCGTGGCCGTGGACTTCCACTGGGAGCAGCAGCTCGTCGTGTACGCCGACATCAGAGCGGGCCACATCAAGTAAGCAGACTCCCTACGGTGGCCTAGAAGACCGGTGGAGGCGGCCAAAATCCCGAACGCGTTTTGAGCTCCAGAGTCGCTAAATGGGACACGAACCGAGCGTTTGACCCCACCAATGGATTCCTCGTTCAGAGAGCGATTCATTGGTGGGGTCACACGTTCGACTCGAGTCCTATTTAGCGACTCTGGAGCTCAAAACGAGTCTAGAATTTAAACCGCGACCACGGGTCTTCTGGCCCACTGTGCACTTCGTTTCAAGCACCGGGTCACGGGCTCAGCACCCACAGCCCTCACCCAGTCCCCCGTTTTGAGAGCCGCTTTTGATTGGCAGCACGGTGAGCATGCACAAGTGGTACTACCCCACGACCATCGTGAAGAACGTGTCGGAGCCCACGAGCGTGGCCGTGGACTGGCTGTCCGACAACCTGTACTGGACCGACGCGAAGCGGCGCAGCATCGAGGTGGCGCGCATGGACGGCACCATGCGCAAGCTGCTGGTGACCACCACCACGGGCACGCCCAGGGCCATCGTCCTGCACCCCAAGAAAGGGTAGGTTGACGAGACAGTCCAACCAAGTGCGGAGGCAGAACGCCCCCGAGTGTGGAGACTGTTTGAGCTCCAGAGTCGCTAAATGGGACTCGAGCCGAACGTGTGACCCCACCAATGGATTCCTCGTTCGAAGAGCTATCGATTGGCGGGGTTACACGTTCGGTTCGAGTCCTGTTCAGCGACTCTGGAGCTCAAAACGCGTCCACTGTGCTTCACAAATCAAGCGCTACTGGGTTGTGCATGAACGTGTCTGTCCGTCGTGCAGGATCATGGTGTGGACGGTGTGGGGCAAGAACGGCAAGGAGGAGGGCACCACCATCACCAGGGCCAACATGGACGGCTCGGAGCGCATGGACATCGTGACCACGGACCTGGACAAGCCCAACGGCCTGGCCCTGGACGTGGCCAGCAGCCGCCTCTACTGGGCCAACTACGGGCGCGCGCGCATCGAGACGTGCGACATCCAGGGCCACGGACGCATCCAGCTCGTCGAGCAGGCCAAGAAGGTGTACGGGCTCACCCTGGTGAGTGGAGGCAACGGACGGCTAATCGGCGAAAGCCCAGTCAAGGTTACAGTGAAGGTCAAATTCAAAGACAAGGGCATCGCCAAAGTCAAAGTCAAAGTTACAGTCAAAGTCACAGGGGTGTCGCCACGGTCATCAGCAAGGTTAAAGTAAAAGTCAAGGGCATCGCTAAGGTCATCACCAAGGTCAAAGTCAAGGTTACAGTCAAAGTCACAGGGGTGTCGCCACGGTCATCAGCAAGGTTAAAGTAAAAGTCAAGGGCATCGCTAAGGTCATCACCAAGGCCAAAGTCAAGGTCACAGTCAAAGTCACAGGGGTGTCGCCACGGTCGTCAGCAAGGTTAAAGTAAAAGTCAAGGGCATCGCTAAGGTCATCACCAAGGTCAAAGTCAAGGTTACAGTCAAAGTCACAGGGGTGTCGCCACGGTCGTCAGCAAGGTTAAAGTAAAAGTCAAGGGCATCACCAAGGTCATCATGCACTCCCTTGCAAGGTCACAGTCAAGGTTTAAAGGAAAAGTAAGGGGTATTTGCCAACATCACCATCAAGGTAAAAGTCAAGGTTAAAATTAAAAGTCAAATGCATCGTCAAAGGTAACCATCGAGGTCATAGTCAAGGCCGAATCAATGGCAGTCTCCAGCCTGAAGTCCATCATCGAATTTGCGATTCCTCAAGTTAGATTAACGTATTAAAAGAAATTCAAAGCTAGATTTTATTTGCCCTACTACTGTTTGTTTATGACTCATTCATCCACTCCGTTTACAATCAAGTGGTGCATCTGGCTTGGATGCGCTTTGACGAAAACAAGCTGCCTTCCTTTCCGGTTGGAGCCGGTTGGTGACAGGAGCGAGCACACACACTAACACACACACTAACACTAACACACACACACTAACACACACACACACACACACACTAACACACACACACTAACACACACACTAACACACACACTAACACACACACTAACACACACACAAACACACACACACACACACACACACACGAACCGCCAAGCGTTCCCCGAGCACACATTAATCGTCTCCCATCTGTGTTTGCTTGCCGGTGTTTGACCAGCCGTCTTCGTTCGTCACGTTTTTCATTCTGGTCTAGCCGTCTCAAGAAGATGGTCGCGACAAGCATTGGCCATACAAAAGAACACCATTTTTTTTTTGAAATAAAACAAATCAAAAATGAAAATTGAAAACAATTTAAAGAAAAAAAGAGGGGGGCGGCTAACCATATAATCTCTTCACATTTTCACTTTTCTATGTATGTTTTTGAGTAAATGCGTCATCTGCTAAAAATTTCAAAAAGAAATTGATCAAAAAATTAGCTTTTTTTTTCACTGATAGAAAAAGTACAGAAATTATACGGAACATCTCTGGCCAATGTTTTACCTGGACCGTCCGTACCTTGCCAACCACGGAGGTTCTGTACATGTTTTCTGTACCCGTTTACATGAGATCCTTATGGGAACCACAGAGAACCAGTGCAGAAGGTCCGTACCTTTTCCGTACCCGCGGTACCCCATTTTTCCGTACATTTTCCGTGCCAAACCACGGAAATTTTTGCAGTGAATATTTGCTGAGCAATACTTTGAAACTGTTTGCTTTCGGCAGCTGGGCGACCACATCTACTGGACGGACTTCGCGAAGCGCACGCTGGAGCGCGCGGCCAAGCAGTCGGCGAGGCAGCGCATGACGGTGGAGACGATGCTGGACCAGGTGGAGGACCTGAAGGCCGTGTCCGCCTCCAAGCAGCGGCGCGCCAAGGCCCCGCCGTGCGGCGACAACAACGGCGGCTGCTCGCACCTCTGCCTGCCGCGGCCCGACGACGTGCTGTGCGCCTGCCCGGACAGGCTCAGCGAAATAGATCTTCTGAGGCGGAGAGAAAAGGACACTTGCACCCAGCGTAAGGACGCCCTCCGTGCCCTGTGCACAGTGGGCCAGACGACTGCTGGAGGCGGCCAAAACCCTACACGCGTTTTGAGCTCCAGAGTCGCTAAATGGAACTCGAAACGAACGTGTGACCCCACCAATGGATTGCTCTCCGAACGAGGAATCCGTTGGTGGGGACACACGTTCGGTTTGAGTCCCACACTGTGGCACGCTGCATTGTGTTTCCAGTTCACGTTCCTCGTTCTCTCGTAGCTGAGCGCGGACTCTGGTTGCAGGCTTCGCCAAGAGGCCGGAGAAGGTGGACGGTGACGACCAGGACGAGGAGGAGGAGGAGGAGGGCAGCCTGCCGCACGCCCCCGACGACGCGACGCACAACGCCACTGCCAAGGCGTCCCCGGTACGTAGCGGCCGGTCCTGGCCTCCAGTCTCCCTGTCCACAGTGGATTTGCCAGAAGACCGGTGGTGGCGGTCCAAATCCCGGACGCGTTTTGAGCTCCAGAGTCGCTTAATGGCTCTCGAACCGAACGTGTGACCCCACCAATGGACTGCTCTCCGAACGAGGAATCCATTGGCGAGGTAACACGTTCGGTTCGAGTCCTAGTTACAGACTCTGGAGCTCAAAACGCGTCCAGAGTTTCAGCCGCCTCCAACGGTCGTCTGGCCACGGTGGTCTCCCTGTCCCTTCCCGTTGACTGCACCCCGAGAGAGTCGTAGACGCCCCCGTCATGGTAGTCTCACCTTTCGCATGGACGCCACGCCACAAACACCTCGCCCCTCTGACGATTCGGAACCCAGTCCCCCTTCCTACCCGCAGTGCTTCTCCCCCTCACTCCCCTCCCAGCACCTCGTTCCCCTCCAAGCACCTCGTTCCCCTCCAAGCACCTCGTTCCCCTCCCAGCACCTCGTTCCCCTCCCAGCACCTCGTTCCCCTCCAAGCACCTCGTTCCCCTCCCAGCACCTCGTTCCCCTCCCAGCACCTCGTTCCCCTCCCAGCACCTCGTTCCCCTCCCAGCACCTCGTTCCCCTCCAGCACCTCGTTCCCCTCCAGCACCTCGTTCCCCTCCCAGCACCTCGTTCCCCTCCCAGCACCTCGTTCCCCTCCCAGCACCTCGTTAAGCTCGACCGGCGTGGGCTGCCCGGCGGCCTGCTTCGCCTGCTTGGCTGCGCAGGCGCTGGCGGCGGTGTCCTTGGCGGTGGCGCCGGTGCTGATGCTGCTGCTGGCTGCTGGTGCTGCAGGTGTCGCGGGTCCTGCTGGTCGGCATCCCCGTGGCCGTGGTGGTCGTGGCGCTGGCCGCCGCGGTGGCGCTGGCGCTGCACTGTCGGGATGGCGGCTCGACGCGCAGCGACAGCGACAAGCTGCGGGCCGGCAACTCCGGCTCCAGCCACGTGCTGACCTACTCCAACCCCAACTACCTGGCGGAGCGGGAGTCCGGCGCCGGCAGCTCCGCCGGCGGCAGCGGCGGCTCGGCGGGCTCCAGCACGGCCGGCGGCAGCGGCGGCCTCGGCGGCTACCGCGGCTGGATGCGGAAACTCAAGTACGACCGGACGGCGGTAAGTGTCCTGCAGTTCGACCTCGCTTCCTGCAGACCGCTGGAGGCGCACAGTGGGCCAGAAGACCGGTGGAGGCGGTCAAAATCCAGGACGCGTTTTGAGCTCCAGAGTCGCTGAATGGGACTCAAACCGAACGTGTGACCCCACCAATGGATTGCTCTCCGAACAAGGAATCCATTGGTGTGGTCAAACGTTCGGTTCGATCCTGCTTAGCGACACAGGAGCTCAAAACGCGTCTGGAGTTTGTGGCCGCCTCCTTCGGTCTTCTGACCCACTGTGAGGCGGCCGAAACTCTGCACGCGTTTTGAGCTCCAGAGTCGCTAAATGGGACTCGAACCGAACGTGTGACCCCACCAATGGATTGCTCTCCGAACGAGGAATCCATTGGTGGGGTCATACGCTCGGTTTGGAGTTTTCTATCGAAATCGTGTCTTGACGTCGAGGTGCTTGTCCAGGATCGGGTGTTCGACGTGACCGATGACTGCGGCCACGGCGGCACGAGCCCCGAGATCCTGTCGCTCATCAACTCGCCGGGGAGCATCATCGCGGAGTCCTCCAGCTGCGTCATGGAGGGCGTCACTCCGCCGCCCACGCCGCCGCCGCCGCCGCGCCGCCTGCCGCCCGTGGGGGCCACGTCGGCCTCGTCGCACGCCGCGCCGCGCGCCCCGCGCGCCCACTACCACCACGCGCGCCGCAACGAGTGAAAAACCAGTGTACGCGCCAGCGGCGCCAGCGGCCAGCACCCCGGACGCCGTGGACGCCGTGGACGTCGTGGACGCCGTGGACGCCGAGGACACTCGGGGGGGCGAACTCTCATTCTCGCGCTAGAGTTTGTCGCGCTTTCCCGGTGTACTCCCCGACCGGCGGATTCAGGCTGGCCTGAAGGGGTTGAAGCGCAGATGGCACTTCTTGCCTTGTTTCACAGGGGCGAAGTGATGCTCGTTGCCTGCCTGTCAGGCGACAGTGTAGCGGTCCCCCCTCTCTGGATCCGCGCCTGTGGTTCCCAGCACGTCCCAGCGCCGCTGGCCGGCGCAAGCCCCTCGAAGGCACTTTGTTCTGGCTATCGAGTTTGACATGTCGACACAGATCGACGCCGTCCGGGAACATTCAAACGCGATCCCGTGCCGGCCCCAGTGCGATGCTGCTCAGTGGGCTAGAAGACCGGTGCAGGTGGCCAAAATTCTAGACGCGTTTTGAGCTCCAGAGTCTCTAGAGAGCACTGGAATCGGGCATATGACCCCAGCAATATATTGCTTCCCGAACGAGCAATCCACTGGTGGGGTCACACGTTCGGTTCGAGGCGCATTTAGCGACTCTGGGGCTCGAAACGCGTCGAGAATTTTGGCCGCCTCCACCGGTCTTCTGGCAAATCCACTGCGCGCTGCCTCGCCAGGCCCGCTGCGCTGCGCGGTGGCGTTCGGTTTGGTCGAGTCGACGACTGCTTGACAGAGGCATGGCCGCCTCACTGGAAGGTTGTTGCCAAGTCTATATGGCTGTCAGAGAAGGAGAGAAAATGAGCGGATGGTATTTATTTTTATAATATTTGTTAAGAGAAAAGTGTTTTAGCGTTAAGAGTATTCACTCTTCTGGTGATTTAAGAAAAAGAGAGAAATAAACTAACTGTGTTTTGATGTTTGAAACTTTAGAAAAGCATGCTCCTATTGGCAAGCACGCAGTGGAGTATTGTTTTTGTTTTTGCTCGTTGGCATACTTTGCGGCTCGCTACACGATCTGATCATATCAAAGTCAGAGTAACCTCCATCAGGCAGACTGCCTCAAATCAAGACATTCTAGCTTGAGGGAACGGATTTCGGCCTGGCCAACTTCCCATCAGCACATTGTACAGTAATACTGACGCTGTTTTTTTTATCGAAAGGTAAACGTAGGAAAACCGCGTCAAAGTCAGATACTTAAAAATTGTCGTGTTTAAGAGACCTTTGCACAGCTATCTTTTACTGGATGGCAACTTCGTCCACCTCAGCAAAATGAATTTATTTCCCCAACAATGCCAATAAAATTTATTGATAAAACTGTGTGAGTTAGCTGACATATTTCATTCTGTATGTATATACGTATTACATATATGTTTGTGTGAGACTGATAAATAGTAAGCTGTACATATGTTGGAATAGGATGGAAAGACACTAAAATATTTTGTACTACAGCTTTTTCTGTTGGTGGAGTTGAGTAGGGAATCTGATTGCTTTCCGAATTTCAGGCCACTGAACTGTATAAGGCTAGAGAAACGTAAATATTGAACCTAGTGTTCGACATCATTTAGGGATATTACATTAATGGATGTGAAAGAACTTACATTAGAATCTTTCCGAATATTTCAGTTGTTTTTGTTATAGAGTCGGCGCCTTATAAACGTTAAAACGTTAGGGTTTGGGCTTAATTGCACCTAGCTAGTGCAGTGTGAGTGTAAATATTTCTGTGTTCTGAGGCCTCTGAAGCTCAAATCGCAAGCGTTACAGAAATCATATTTGTTGTTGATTTTGGTTGTTGATTTCAAAGAAAAGTCTTTTGCACATAGACTTCGATGTTAATGTTTCTTTCGTATGTACAATTCCCGTGTGACTTATTCGCATCAAGGAAACGACTGTAAGGGAAACAGTAAAATAATGTTAGAGAAAAGGTGCGACGTGTACAAAAGAGATGTTTATTAGCTTACTTACTCTTGTTGATCTAACCTGACTTGGAGTGCGTGACAACGAAGTGCAGCTTCACCCGGCCTTTGTCCCAGGGATACTGTCCATTGCTACCCAAGTTTCGGCCCACCTCGCGTTGCTCTCGCCTTAAAGGCCAGCGACTCCGTTCACTGTAAAATCAAAAAAGTTGAGTCCAATCAGCTTGGTTCGTTCTGAACATTATTCTGGCAATGAGAGTACTCCAGGAGTTCTTCCCTGAGGTTACGTTAAAAAGACGTCAATTTCCCTTAACTTTTTTTTTTCAGTGGATTGAGATTTTCTTACCCCCTCCCACCCCCTCTCTACTCGCCCTTCGAGGCAGACGCCTGGCTCGCGTCTCCCCGACAGGGCATTCAAACCGTTCCACTCCAACTTTTTTGCTCAAAACTGGTCCTGGGTATTTGCCCCGCCCTCCGGGCCCTTCCGGGTCTCCGTCCCACAGTGGGCCAGAAGACCGGTGGAGGCGGCCGAAACTCTGGACGCGTTTTGAGCTCCAGAGTCGCTAAATGGGACTCGAAACGAGCGAGTGGCCTCTCCAAAGGATTCCTTAACCGAACGAGCAATCCATTGATGGGGTCACACGTTCAGTCGAGTCCCGTTTAGCGACTCTGGAGCTCGAAAGGCGTCTGGAGTTTTGGCCGCCTCCACCGGTTTTCTGGCCCACTGTGCGTCCCGGACGGCTGTCCCCGCGCTGCTGCCCGTCGCCAGGCGCTCCAAAAGCAGGCAGAGTGGTAGACTTCTTCATGTGAATACTCTTGTGCCGGCGGGACTGGGCCTCGCCTCCGCCCGCCCCGCCGCCAAATCGTTAACTTGTGTGTTGATTGCATTTTTATTCCCATTACTATGTGGTATTCCGACCTTACGAGTCGAGTAGTTTGTTTGCTCACTGCAAGATGTGGATGTCGAGTGTTTGATGTCTTGTGCTGGCTCATGGTACATTGGACATTCGTGTAAGGTTTATTCAAATAAATACGTTTTACGATTGAACCCGTTTAATCTTTACTCGTAAACCGATTCACCCGTCATGATGCGAAAGTCGATGAAGGCCTGGCGGCGCCTGTGAGAAAGTCACCCGAGTCTTCCTGCAACAAAAAACAACAAAACGAGTTGCAAAAGTTCTGTATAACGCGATCAGTCTCAACTTAACGTTACGGCACAGGAGTCCTCTTAGGAGGAAAAAAAGGGGGGAGGGCGGCACAGTGGGCCAGAAGACCGGTGCAGGCGGACAAAACTATAGACGCGGTTTGAGCTCCGGAGTCGCTAAATGGGACTCGAACCGAACGTGTGACCCCACCAATGGATTGCTCCCCTAACGAGGAATCCATTGGTGGGGTCACACGTTCGGTTCGAGTCCCGTTTAGCGACTCTGGAGCTCAAAACGCGTCTAGAGTTTGCCGTGCAGACTGACCGGTGCTCTCTGTGGTCGTGGACGTGGCTGCGACGACCACCTTCTCCGGGCGGTCTCCCTCCTCGCCCAGGCCGAAGGGCGACACGCCGCCGGTGCGCAGGTAGAAGACGCCCCTCTGGTGACTGCAGTTGAACAGAAAGAAAATTCAATGTTGCTTTCAAAACGTCAAATTCAGCAAATAAGAAAAGTTTTTCTAAAAAAAAATGTTTGAATCGAGCGTGTGACCCCACCAATGGATTCCTCGTTCGGAGGGCAATCCATTGGTGGGGTCACACGTCCGGTTCGAGTCCCATTTAGCGACTCTGGAGCTCAAAACGCGTCCGGGACTTTGGCCGCCTCCACCGGTCTTCTGACCCACTGTGCACTCACGCGGCGGGCGCGGGGAAGCCCATGTACACGACGTTGGAGTCGTTGGGCGGGCAGGAGCCGCGCTGGAAGGCGAGCCAGGAGCGGCAGCTGACGGCGGGGAAGGCGGTCTCGTCGTTGACGGACTCGGCGAAGAACTCCCAGGAGCGCTGGTGGCTGCAGAAGAGCAGCGAGTCCGAGGGGCTGCCGGTCTGCGATACACTGCAGCCCGGCTGCGTGCGCCGGCCGCCGTTGGGCCAGAAGTCGACGGTGCCCTCGTTGCGGTCCGAGCCGAACACCCCGGAGTCGGTGTGGATCACGTCCACCCAAAACTCCCGAGCGTCGGGGGCGGTTCAGCTCGGGGGTCTGCCGGGCGCGCCGAAGCCCGGCAGGGCGCCGGCCGCCCCTTTGGGCAGAAGGAGGGGCCCCGCGTCCAAAACGTCTTGAGTGGTGTGGATCACAATCCCCCATCGAAGTTGGGGGTTCATGCACCCAAATGCCCAAGCATCGGCAGGGGGGGTCCACCGATGGAGGCGGAAAACGTTCAAAGTTTTCATTTTGAGCTTCAATCATTGAATTTGGGATCACAACCGAACGTGTGAAAACCCCATCAAATGGTTTGGGTTTTCCGGGGCCCAAACGAATTCCAAAATTTCTCTGGGGTCCATTGGTTCCCGGGAGCCCTCTTAAATGACTCCGGAGCTCAAAGCGCGTCTAGAGTTTTGGCCGCCTCCACCGGTCTTCTGGCCCACTGCCTACCTGTGATCCTGTAGGGCTTGAAGTTGAGGTACTTGGCCATGACGCCGGCCAGCTGGCCGCCCAGGGAGTGGCCGATGGGCCAGAATCCCTCCCTGGAGAGGCCGTTGTCCACCATGAGGTGCACCGCGCCGGCCACGGCCGCCCCGGCCGCCGTGACGCGGAGGTGGGCAGAGAGGTACGGAGCCCCCACGTACTGGCTCCAGTCGACCAGGACGAAGTTGTGCTCCCCGCGCCTCTGGAACGCTGTGCAGAGAGTGGCCGTTGTACAGTGTCGCCACGCTGTAGTTTCGGCAGTGTAGTGGAACCCGGAGCCTCACCTCGGGCCATCTTGCCGACGCTGTCGCTGTCCTGGGACTCCAGGTAGCCGTGGATGTAGAGCACGGTGGGCTTGGACGCGTCGAAGGAGGGGTCCGCCAGCAGGTCGGAGGCGTTGTGGATCGGGAAGCTTGCGTTGCGGGAGTTACTGTGGGGAGAACACGGTCAAAGCAAGCGTGGCACAGTGGGCCAGAAGGCCGGTGGAGGCGGCCGAAATTCTGGACGCGTTTTGAGCTCCAGAGTCGCAAAATGGGACTCGAACCGAACGTGTGACCCCATCAACGGATAGCTCTCCGAACGAGGAATCCATTGGTGGGGTCACACGTTCGGTTCGAGTCCTGTTCAGCGACTCTGGAGCTCGAAACGCGTCGAGAATTTCGGACGTGTGGAGTTTACAGCCTGCACACTTGAAGTGTGGAGTTCCCCGCTCACTTGCCTCCACAGTGCTCGATACCTACGTGAGGACGGTGAACTGGATCTTGGAGAACTCGTCGAAGAGCGTCAATACGTTTCCGGTTGAGTCCAGCAGCCTGCTTTGCGCTGCGGCTGCAAGTAAATCGCGTCGGTCAGTGAAAAATAAAATGAAGAAAAAGTACAAGTGCGGGTATTTGAACCACCGACCTCCAAGAACCGCCGCGCAAAGGCACAGCAGCGTCGCGTGCATCGTTCTGCTCTGTGCGGGCTGAACTGAGTCCCCGAGTGTCTCGGGAGGGTCGGTGTGCGGCGTTTCCTGTTTCCCAGTGTGGCGAGCGTCTCGAAGTGCACTGCGAACTGTGGCGGTCCTGCAGGGCCGCGGCCTTTTGGTTGCAGGCGAGGCACGGCGCGCTGCAGCTGTGGAAACACGGCGACGGTGCACTGTGCAGTGCCTGGCAGTGCCTTGCAGCACAAACACGTGCAAAAGTGCGCACGCCGCAAACATGTTTAGTCGGTGGGCGCTTTGCGACGCACAGTGGGCCAGAAGCCCGGTGGAGGCGGACAAAACCCCGGACGCGTTTTGAGTCGTTGAACGGGACTCGAACCGGACGTGTGACCCCACCAATGGATTGCTCTCCGAACGAGGAATCCATTGGTGGGGTCACACGCTCTGTTCGAGTTCTGCTTAGCGACTCTGGAGCTCAAAACGCGTCCGGGATTTTGGCCGCCTCCACCGGTCTTCTGGCCCACTGTGTGACGTCTTTTAGCTGCTTTGTCAGGTGCAAGGAGCGGATCGGAATGTCTCTCTCACACCCGTGGGCTCGTGGGGCTTCCCCTGAGGTGCGAACTGGGAAAAGGGTTGACTCTTCAACTGAATGTAAATGAATTTATTGGCACATTGGAAAAACGTTTTCTTCTTCATCCAAGTCCGTTTGCAGTGAAGTGCCTGGTCTGGCGGCAGACCTTTTCATGCCGAGGTTTGAGATTCGGACGGGCTGCCGCAGACGATGACAGTGAGCCACCGAGCAAGGCCGTTACTGGCCGCTTCAGCCGCACACTGTGAAACTAGGAAAACCAAATGATTAGTTTCGACATCTGCATGTTTAAATTCAGAGGTGCATCAGGTGGTTGTCTCACCGACGCTGTTGGCGTTGGTGGTGGGGGCGTTGGTGATGGGGGCGTTGGTGATGGGGGCGTTGGTGATGGGGGCGTTGGTGATGGGGGCGTTGGTGATGGGGGCGTTGGTGATGGGGGCGTTGGTGATGGGGGCGTTGGTGATGGGGGCGTTGGTGATGGGGGCGTTGGTGGTGGGGGCGTTGGTGATGGGGGCGTTGCTAGTGGTGGGGGCTTCAGTGATGGGCACCTCCGTGGACGGCCACTCGGTGGTGGGGGCCTCAGTGGTGGCCCACACGGTGGTGGGGGCGTCGGTGACGGAAGCGTCGGTGGTCGTCGTGGCGTCGAGGTTCTCCCCACTGTCAGGCCGGGCCCCGTCCACGCCAAGACCGAAGGGCTCCTCAGGGCCGGTCCGCAGATAAAAGGTGCCCGTGAGGTACCTACAATAATTCGGGAAAATAAAAATAAACAACACACTTCCAGAGGCCTTCTTTGAATTTCTAACAGCTGGACTGTGCTGAAGAGGCCACCAAGCCACCCGTTCCACAGTGGGATAGAAGACCGGTGGAGGCGGCCAAAATTCAAGACGCGTTTTGAGCTCCAGAGTCGCTAAGCAGGACTTGAACCGATCGCGTGGCCACACTAATGGATTGCTCTCCGGACGAGGAATCCATTGGTGAGGTCACACGTTCGGTTCGAGTCCCATTTAGCGACCCTGGAGCTCAAAACGTGTCTGGAGTTTTGGCCGCCTCCACCGGTCTTCTAGCCCACTGTGAGTCCCCCAGTCCACTCAATCGACTTACGCGCCCGGCGCGGGGAAGCCCATGTACACGACGTTGGAGTCGTTGGCGGGGCACAGGCCCTTCTTGAAGGCGCTCCAGGAGCGGCAGCTGACGGCGGGGAAGGCGGTCTCGTCGTTGACGGACTCGGCGAAGAACTCCCAGGACCGGCGGTGGCCGCAGTACAGCAGCGCCTCAGCGAGCTTCGTCTCGCCGACGTTGCAGCCGGGCTGGGGCCGCGTGCCGCCGTTCGGCCAGAAGTCGATGGTGGCGTCGTTGGAGGAGGAACCGCTGACTCCGGCGTCCGTATGGATCACGTCCACCACGACGGCGTCGTCGCGCGTCAGGCTAGGGATCCCCGGGAGGTTAAAGCCCGGCCCGGCGGGGTCGAGCGCTGGAAGAAGGCCGTGTTCCAGTACACTGTCTTACGCTGAAAGGCTGCACCAACACACTCTTAAAATCTTCCGAAGTATTTTGAGCATACGTATAACAAACTAAAATACTTTGTTATACAAAGAAATAGTTCGTAAATTACGAAGTATTTTCTTTGTAAGCTTACGTATGCTCAAAATACTTTGTTATACAAACTACTTTTGTTTGTAAGGCCCAAAATAGTTTGTAAGGTTTTCTCAGTGCATATTATGATGGAGATTTTCTCCATACTACCAATGAAATTCGTCAAAATATCTATAAGGTACAGTGAATTCTGAATGGTATGTTACAAAGTCAGCTGCACCACCATAAAATGGAACATTTTCACCATAATATGGAGAATCTTCACTGTAGAACATTTAGAGTGTACCGACGCACTCTGGGCCCGAAGAGCGGCACGGCGGCCGAAACTCTAGACGCGTTTTGAGCTCCAGAGTCGCTGAACGGAGCGTGTGACCCCACCAATGGTTTCTTCGATCGGGGAGCAATCCATTGATGGGGTGACACGTGCGGTTTGAGTCCTGGCTAATGACTCGGGCGCAACGCGTCTCAAATTTTGGCCACAGTGCGAGGCTGCGACCCGGCTGCCTGCAGGGTAAGCAACCCCCTGGCCACAGTGCAGGGCTGCGTTCGAGCTGCCTACCTAACAGGCGCCTCCACCGGCCCAAACAGCCTTGACGTACCCGTGATCCTGCTGGGCTTGAAGTCGAGGCTCTTGGCCATGACGCCGGAGAGCTGGCCGCCCAGGGAGTGGCCGATGGGCCAGAAGGTGTCCCGGTCGAGGCCGGCGTCCACCATGCGGTTCACCGCGGCGCCCACGGCCTCGCCCGCCTGCAAGGTCAAGGAGGGTTACTGGCTGTCCACACTGTAAATTTTGTTTCTGACAGTGGAATGTTTGCTTACGGCGGTGCAGCGCACGAACGAGGTGATGTAGTCGCCCTTCACGTACTCGCTCCAGTCCAGCAGGACGAAGTTGTGCGACCCCCGCCGGAGGAACGCTGCGCCACAACATTTCAAAAACTCTTATTATTTTAAATTGAAATATTTTTTAAAAAAAAAAGAGTATCAGGATTGTTGTATTTGAACCGAAGGTCACCTCTGGACACTGCACCCACACTCTCGCTGTCGTTGGACTCGGACCAGCCGTGCATGTAGAGGGCGGTGGGCTTGCCGGCGTCGAAGGCGGGGTCTGCCAGCAGGGCGTTGGCTTCGGCGATCGGGTAGCTGGTATTCCGGGTGTTGCTGTGGGAACAGCAGAGAGTGCACAGTCGGCCAGAAGACCGGTGGAGGCGGTCCAGATCCCGGACGCGTTTTGAGCTCCAGAGTCGCTGAATCCGACTGGAACCGAACGTGTGACCCCTCCAATGGATTGCTCTCCGAACGAGGAGTCCATTGGTGGGGTCACACGGTCGGTTCGAGACCATTTAGTGACTCTGGAGCTCAAAAGGCGTGTCTAGAATTTTGGCCGCCTCCACCGGTCTTCTGGCCCACTGTGTATCGGCAGGCGATTAGAAAACACCGGAAAGTTCCTACACAGAACGTTCTTTTTGTGGCACGAATGGCGGCTTCGTACATGTACGGTTTTGTTTGCAATACAAAGAAGAAATAAATCCCAAGTAGGTTTCGAAGAACTTTTTTGGAGCATTTCTCGGGGAATCTCATACAATTTAATAATAAGGTTCAGCAAGATCTATTAAATAGAACCCACGTGTAGAGAGTAAACTGAATCTCGGAGAAATCGTCACTGGTCAACGCTTTGCCGGTCGAGTTCAAGACGCTGTCGAGCCTGATCTCCAGATTGGGGTTCTTCCCGCCCAAGGCCGAGGCTGCATCAGCAGCATAAGCAGAAATAATTTTTAACTAAGTTTCATAAATGTTTTTATTGCAAAAAAATATACGTCTATCAAACGTGACAAGGAATGAATTATTAGTGTTATTTTCACCAGGTGGTCACACAAAAAAACTTTCAAAATGGGAGAAAATATCGGGAGTCGAACCACTGACCTACGAGTACCGCGACGCAGAGACAAAAGAGGGTCGACTTCATGTTCGGAAACTGTCAGGAACGGTGAACGAGTGTGCAGGTGGAATAGAGCAGACTGCGGTTGCGAGCAGGGCAGGACGGCATGGATCCCTCACGACTAGCAGTGGAGACGGCGACGGCGATGGCCCTGGCCATGGCCACCCGACGGGCCAGCTGGGCAAACAGCGCGCGGATCTCAAAATTTTGGCGCGTTGGCGACTCGTTTTGCTCACGTGATTCAAATTCACAGTGGGTTGGCGTGTAGCTACGGCCGCCCGGAAAGGAAGGGCGCACAGTGGGAGACCAGCAGAGGCGGCCGAAACTCTAGACGCGTTTTGAGCTCCAGAGTCGCTAAACAGGACTCGAACCGAACGTGTGACCCCGCCAGTGGATTCCTCGTGCGGAGAGCAATCCATTGGTGGGGTCACACGTTCGGTTCGAGTCCTGTTTGGCGACTCTGGAGCTCAAAACGCGTCCAGAGTTTTTGCCGCCTGTGCCGGTCTTCTGGCCCACTGTGCAGGACCCCGCAAAGATTGGGATATGTAGATTGGAACCCTATTATTTTGCGGCCTACGAAGAATGTCTCTCTCGCCATGGCAATTGCTTTTAAATGTTTTCCGCTTCCGGTGTTGCCTGCGAGGCAGGAGGTTGTTTCCCACATCAGAGAACAGTTTGCTGCGCTGTCTCAAGGTGCAGGGGGTATAGGGTTGTACCGACAAATTCATTGCACACACTTGCATAAGGGTTTCGCTCTTTATTTGAATCAGACTATCCTGTCATTCAAATGCCGCGTCCGGCGGTCGGTGTTTTGGGAGGGGGGAACAGCTTCACACATTCATTGTACAAAATTTGACCACATTCCACATTCAGGTGGCAAAACGCCTGTAAGTAGCCAACAAGTGTGGCAAAAACGTCAGAAATCTTAGACATTCTTGCACTTCACACAATCATTGTACATAAAATTTGACAGTGGGTCACCCCTCGGTTTTTTGGCGGCAAGCTTTCCTGTGCTGCCGCAGCGTTTAGCCGAGCCACCGCAGAAGACCGACGATACCGCCGCTGCTGGCCGAGTCAGCTGCAACAGGTGGGGGCGGTGAAAACTAGGATCAACGTCAGCGACACAGAGATTTGAGTTTTGAAATTTTGCGCGAGTTGGTCGACTTACCGACGCTAGGAATCGTAGTGGCGGCGTCGGTGGTGGCAGCTTCGGTGGTGGTGGCAGCCTCGGTGGTGGTGGTGGTGGTGGTGGTGGTCGTGGCCGGCAGGGCCCCCTCGACGCCGAGGGCGTAGGGCTTCTCAGACGCGGTGCGCAGGAAGAAGGTGCCGGTAAGGTCCCTGCGGTGCAGCAGAGAGAATCCAGTGTACACTTCAAAGGCCCTGCGTGTTTATAAACACCGCAATCTGGGGAAGCACAGTGGGCCAAGACCGGCGCCGGCGGCCAGAACTCTAGACGCGTTGTGAACTTCGGAGGTCGCTAAACAGGACTCGGACCGAACGTGTGACCCCACCAATGGATTCCTCGTTCGGAGAGCAATCCATTGGTGGGGTCACACGTTCGGTTCGAGTCCCATTTAGCGACTCTGGAGCTCAAAACGCATCCAGAGTTTTGGCCACCTGTGCCGGTCTTCTGGGCCACTGTGGAGAGCCACCCGGCCAGACGTACGTGGCAGGCGCGGCGAAGCCCATGTAAACAACGTTGGATTTGCCGACGGGGCACAGGCCGCTCTCGAAGGCGAGTAACGAGCGGCAGCTGACGGCGGGGAAGGCGGTCTCGTCGTTGACGGACTCGGCGAAGAACTCGTAGGACCGGTGGTGGCTGCAGAAGAGCAGCGAGTCCGGGAGGTCGGTCTCGCCGACGTTGCAGCCGGGCTGGGGCCGCGTGCCGCCGTTCGGCCAGAAGTCGATGGTGCCGTCGTTGGCGGCGAAGCCCGCGACTCCGGCGTCCGTGTGGATCACGTCCACCATGACGGCGTCGTCGCGCGACAGCTCGGGAGTCCCCGGGACGCCGTAGCCCGGCCCGGCGGGGTCGAGCGCTGGAAAGAAAGGGACCGGGTTCGAGTACCGATGCCTGCCGCGTTTTTTTCAAGAGTCTGAACCGAATGTGCTGTACTTTGAAGGCCAAATCATTCACTCTGCCTACCTCACAGGCGCGCAGTGGGCCAGAAGACCAGTGGTTGAGCTCCAGATTCGCTAAATGGGACTCGAACCGAGTGTGTGACCCCATCAATGGACTGCTCTCTGAACGAGGAATCCGTTGGTAGGGTCACACGTTCGATTCGAGTCCTGTTTAGCGACTCTGGAGCTCAAAACGCGCCTCGAGTTCTGACTGCCTCCACCGGTCCTCTGGCCCACTGTGCTGCACCGGCCCAGGTGGACTTGACGTACCCGTGATCCTGCTGGGCTTGAAGTTGAGGCTCTTGGCCATGACGCCGGAGAGCTGGCCGCCCAGGGAGTGGCCGATGGGCCAGAAGGTGTCCCGGTCGAGGCCGGCGTCCACCATGCGGTTCACCGCGGCGCCCACGGCCTCGCCCGCCTGCAAGGTCAAGGAGGGTTACCGGCTGCCTACACTGTAACAAGTTGCAGTGCAGATTTTGTTTCTGTCTTACTGCAGAGACGCGCAGGAACGAGGTGATGTAATCGCCATCCACGTATGCGCCCCAGTCCAGCAGGACGAAGTTGTGGGATCCACGCTGGAGGAACGCTGCGCAAGGAGGTTTGCAAGTTAGTATTTTTAGATCGAAAAAAAAGGGAAAAGCAGCAAACGATTGTGAGATTTGAACCCACGGTCATACCTCTGGACACCACGCCGACACTCTCGCTCTCGTTGGACTCCTGCCAGCCGTGCATGTAGAGGACGGTGGGCTTGCTGGCGTCGAAGTTCGCGTCCGCCAGCAGGTCGGCGGCATTGGCGATGGGGTAGCTGGCATTCTGAGAGTTCCTGCGGGGGACAACGCACAGTGGATTTGCCAGAAGACCGGTGGAGGCGGTCAAAACTCCGGACGTGTTTTGAGCTCCAGAGTCGCTAAGTGGGCCTCGAACCGAACGTGTGACCCCACCAATGGATTGCTCTCCGCACGAGGAATTCATTGGTGGGGTCACACGTTTGTTTCGAGTCCCGGGGCGACACTCACGTGTAGAGGATGAACTGGATCTTGGAGAAGTCGTCGCTAGTCAGAACGTCGCCGGTTGTTTCCAGCGCGTTGCCCACGACGGTCTCCAGCCCGCTCTCAAGCTTGCCGCCCAGGTCGACCAGTGCGGTGGCTGCAGCAACAGTGCCCGGTCAAATAAGAAAACGAAGCGACCAAAAGAGGAGGAAACTTCTGGAGTCGCTAAATGTGACTCGAACCGAACGTGTGACCCCACCAATGGATTGCTCTCCGAACGAGGAATCTATTGATGGGGTCACACGATCGGTTCGAGACCTGCTTAGCGACTCTGAGCTCAAAACGCGTCTAGAGTTTTGGCCGCCTCCACCGATCTTCTGACCCACTGTGCCCCGGGAGTCCAACACTGACCTCCGAGAACCACGGCGCAGAGACAAAACAGGGTGGACTTCATGTTGGGTACCCTGGCAGGGCGGGACGGTGAACCTGTGCGGAGGTGGACCAGCACGGACTGCGGTTGCGGCCGGGCCGGGCGGGTCCCTAGCGACTCAGAGAGGACGGCAACCCGCCCGGCCAGCTGGGCAAACAGCGCATGGGTCTCAAAATGTTGGGCTGCGGTGACTCCTTTTGCTCACGCGAGCTGTGGACACAAAGTGTGAGCCTTAAGCCGCCGCCTGAAAACCAAGTGTGGAGCGTGGAGCGATTGCTCTCTCTGGGAATAAACGAGTGTGATCGTCACGCTACACCCCGACCACCTCAAAGGTTCGTGTGGAGATTCATTACCCCCTTGATTAAAGGCTCTACTCTTTATTTTATGAACCAGAACATCAGTCATTTCACGTCGAGTTTTCTGGTGCTGCCGCAGTGTTAACCGAGCCGCCGAAGGAGGCCGACAAGGCCGCCGCTAGGAGTGGAGGTTGTGGTGGCGTCGTCGTGGGTATCCACGGCGTCGTCCTCGCCCCCGTCCTCGGCGTCCTCACTGGCATCCTCGACGGCGTCCTCGGCGTCCGCGGAGTCCTCGGTAGCGGCGGTGTCGTCGGTGACGTCAACGTGGTCCGCGGTGGAGGCTTCCTCCGCGTCCTCGGCGCTGGCCGGCCGGGTCCCGTCGACGCCGAGGCCGAACGGTTTCTCAGAGCCGGTCCGCAGGAAGAAGGTGCCCTTGAGGGAGCTGCGGTTCAACAGAGAGAAACCAGAGTGCACCCTGCACAGTGGGCCAGAAGACCGGTGGAGGCGGCCAAAACTCCAGACGCGTTTTGAGCTCCAGAGTCGCTAAATGGGACTAGAACCGAACGTGTGACCCCACCAATGGATTGCTCTCCGAACGAGGAATCGATTGGTGGGGTCACACGTTCGGTTCGAGTGATATTCAGCGACTCTGGAGCTCAAAACGAGTCTAGAGTTTTTGCCGCCTGCGCCAGTCTTTAGTGACCTAGAACGCCGTTTCCCGGCACAATCAGAGGAAGCAACTCAGCCCCCTTCCAGCGAGTGTTGCCTCGAAAGTTGGCAACCATTTGCATGATGCAGTAGTGTCGAAAGGGTTGCCAACCTCAGACTGCAATATCTGGAGTTTGCCCTCGAGAAGTTCCGTAGTACACGAAGGCTGACTCTGGCAACTCTTCCGACACCGCTGCATCGTTCGAAAATGTGCCCATGGCATCACTACTTCCACCTCGACGTACGTGGCAGGCGCGGCGAAGCCCATGTACACGACGTTCGAGTCGTTGACGGGGCACAGGCCCTTCTGGAAGGCGCTCCAGGAGCGGCAGCTGACGGCGGGGAAGGCGGTCTCGTCGTCGATGGACTCGGCGAAGAACTCCCAGGAGCGGTGGTGGCTGCAGAAGAGCAGCGAGTCCGAAAGGTCGGTCTCGCCGATGTGGCAGCCGGGCTGGGGCCGCGTGCCGCCGTTCGGCCAGATGTCAATGGTGCCGTCGTTAGAGGAGGCGCCGCTGACGCCCGCGTCCGTGTGGATCACGTCCACCATCACGGCGTCGTCGCGCGACAGCTGGGGCGTCGCTGGGATGCCGAAGGCCGGCCCTGCCGGGTCGAGCGCTGGAAGAGGGCCGGGTTCGAGTACCGACGTCTGCTGATCCCTTTTTGCAAGTTTCTGATCTTTGTAAAATGGAGCGGTAAGGTTCAGGCGCCTGGTAAGGACGGCCATGTCTCGTTTTGCAGTGCAGGCGGGCATGTGTCGGGCCCGAAATGGCATACGATCGTGGTCTAGCCCTTAATGGTAATGGTAATGACAAGGTAGGCAACAACCTGGTCGCAGTGCATGGCTGCGTCACGGCTGCCTACCTCACAGGCGCCTCCACACAGTGGGCCAGAAGACCGGTGGAGGCGGTCAAAATCCCAGACGCGTTTTGAGCTCCAGAGTCGCTAAATGGGACTCGAAGCGAACGTGTGACCCCACCAATGGATTGCTCTCCGAACGAGGAATCCATTGGTGGGGTCATACGTTCGATTCTAGACCTGTTAAGCGACTCTGGACCTCAAAACGCGCCTAGAGTTCTGACCGCCTCCACCGGTCTTCTAGCCCACTGTGCTGCACCGGTCCAGGCGGACTCGACGTACCCGTGATCCTGCTGGGCTTGAAGTCGAGGCTCTTGGCCATGACGCCGGAGAGCTGGCCGCCCAGGGAGTGGCCGATGGGCCAGAAGGTGTCCCGGTCGAGGCCGGCGTCCACCATGCGGTTCACCGCGGCGCCCACGGCCTCGCCCGCCTGCAAAGCACCGTTACTGACTGCCCACAAAGGCAGTGTTGCCACACGCGCCGGCGAAAAGTCCCAGGATTTACCGGCCAGTGTTGAAACGGTATTTGCCAACTAGGCACCTACATACTAGGCACCTGGGCTGAGTTGACAACCCCAACGCCTGGCGCGTTCTGGGAATTTTCGGCCCACCAATGTGGCAACTCCGGTAACAGGACGGATTTTGATTCTCTCATGTCGAGTCTTACAGCGGTGCAGCGCAGGACCGAGATAGCGTAATCGCCCTTCACGTATTCGCCCCAGTCCAGCAGGACGAAGTTGTGCGACCCCCGCCGGAGGAACGCTGCGCAAATTGGAATTACGAAACCGAATTGATAAATAGGCCTGGAGCTCCAGGACAAACAGTGGGCCAGAGGACTAGTGAAGGCGTTCAAAACTCCGAAAGAGTCGCTAAAATGGCTAACTACCGCAACTGAGCCTACCTCTGGACACCACGCCAACACTCCCGCTCTCGTTGGACTCCCTCCAGCCGTGCATGTAGAGGGCGGTGGGCTTGCCGGCGTCGAAGGCGGGCTCTGCCAGCAGGTCGGCGGCATTGGCGATCGGGTAGCTGTAATTCTTGTACTTGCTGCGGGAACAACGAACGTGTTTCGTGTATCGCCGGTTGAGCCTGAGACTGGAGACTGAACGGGGCACAGTGGGCCAGAAGACGGGTGGAGGCGTTCAAAATCCCGGACGCGTTTTGAGCTCCGAAGTCGCCAAATGGTACTTGAATCAAACGTGTGACCTCACCAATGGATTTCTCTCCGAACGAGGAATCCATTGGTGGGGTCACACGTTCGGTTCGAGTCCTATTTAGCGACTCTGGAGCTCAAAACGCGTCTAGGGTTTTGGCTGCCTCCACCGGTCTTCTGGCCCACTGTGCGGGGGAGGCACCCACGTGTAGAGGATGAACTGGATCTTGGAGAAGTCGTCGCTGGTCAGCAAGTCGCCGGTCTTCTCCAACGCGCTGTCCACGAAGGTCTCCAGCTTCCCTTTGAACGTGCCGCCCAGCGCGGCTGCAGGGATGCGTTACAGCTGCCTACCTCACAGGCGCCTCAGCTCAGTGGACCAGAAGACCGGTGGAGGCGGTCAAGGTCCCGGACGCGTTTTGAGCTACAGAGTCGCTGAATGGGACTCAAACCGAACGCGTGGCCCCACCAATGGATTGCTCTACGAACGAGGAATCCATTGGTGGGGTCACACGTTCAGTTCGATCCTGCTTAGCGACACAGGAGCTCAAAACGCGTCTAGAGTTTTGGCCGCCTCCACCGGTCTTCTGACCCACTGTGCCCCCGGGACTCCAACACTGACCTCCGAGAACCACGGCGGAGAGGCAAAACAGGATGGACTTCATGTCGGGCACCTGGCAGGGCGGGACGGTGACCCTGTGTGGAGGTGGACCAGCACGGACTGCGGTTGCGGCCGGGCCGGGCCTTTAGACACTTTAGCGAGGCGGCCACATGCCCCGCTACCTATGTAACAAGCGCAACTTCTCGGGCGACATGCATACCGAATTCGAGGAGATTAGTCATGTGCAGTCTGAATGGAGAGAAGCTGTTTGTTTCCTTTCAAAACCTCGGGCGGAGGGAATAACACTTTCTTCTTCCTCGCTCCATTCATCGGTCTGCAGACTGGCCCGGAGAGTCGCGTTTCCGTCGCTGTCTCTCTCGCACCTATGCGGGACGCCCCATGAGTGCGAGAGAGACAGAGCAACGAAAACGACTCTCGGAATCAGTCTGCTGCGCCGCGCGCACCAGTGCGTACAGTAGTGTTACGGCACCACCGTACAGGGCTATTTTTACGCGCAGCGGGCCAGAAGACCGGCGCAGGCGGCCAAAACTCTAGACGCGTTTCGAGCTCCAGAGTCGCTGAATGGGACTCGAACCGAACGTGTGACCCCACCGATGGACTCCTCGTTCGGAGAGCAATCCATTGGTGGGGTCACACGTGCGGTTCGAGTCCCATTCAGCGACTCTGGAGCTCAAAACGCGTCCAGAGTTTCGGCTGCCTCGCCGGTCCTCTGGCAAATCCGCTGTGCGATGCGGAGCCGTGCCGTTATCGCCAGTTCGTGCCAAGGAAGCTTAAGGCAGCCGACGGGGAATAGCGTCGCGAACTGTGTTTTTTGGCGAGCAGGCCGTGATGATAACCAATGAATGGCTACTTTCTGGCGCTATCTGCTGCCACCTGCCCGAGTGATTGGCGGAAAGGGGGAGGGGGTATATCTCTGGCATCGTAAAGATTCTGTCGGAGCAGCATGAACCATGCATCGGCATGGGGCGAGTGGAGAAGTTATCCGCGTCCGGCTATGCACCAGCGCTGAGGTCAGGCACACTGCCTCGGCCACAGCAGGCAGTGCGGCGGCGGTTTGATACAGTGGATCGGCCAGCCGCCTCTCTCGCCTGCGAGCCTGCCAGCCCAGCCAGTCCGTCGGCCAGTCTGGGCCCAGTCGAGTCGCGAACCCGCCTTGGTCCCGCGCGTCGGTTATTCCCCACCGTCGAGGTTTAGCAGCAGTGACCGAGATAAACCGAAATCATACAGTGAACCGCCAGCCAACCGTTCCAGCAGACACAATGGCAGCCTCCATCACCAAGCTGACGGACTCGTCCACCTTTCCAGTGTGGAAGAAGGAGGTAGAGGTCCACTTCACCTCGAGGAAGCTGATCAGCATTGTGGATGGGAGCCAGACCCCCGATAGCTGCTTGGACTGGGGGACCAAAGACAATGAAGCCCAACGGGTCATCCTGAGGTCCCTCAGCGGCGACGCGAAAACCCACGTCGTTACCTGTAGAACCGCCAAGGACATGTTCACAACCCTGAGTAAAGTGTACGGGAGGAAGCAGTGCACGAAATGTGGCAAGATGGGTCATTCAGAGAAAAACTGTTGGAGTGGCATGACATTCCCTCCGTGCCCACACTGCGAAAAAACCAACCATCCACAACAATCGTGTCTTAAAAATAAAGCTGGCGAGAAAAACAGAAACAATGAGAAGATGAATAACAAGCAGAACACAAACCACTCTCAAGCATCGAGCAGCATTAAAGCCGAGCCAGAAAAGTATATGAAAAGTGATAAGAAACAAAACAACAAGCAAAACGCCATCAAGAACGACCTGAGGAGTCGAACCCCTGCCCCTCCAGAACCACCGCGTAGTGACTCAGCAGGACCGAACGTGCAAGTGCAGCAGCACAAGAGTTTCCATTTTGAATTTTTTAATAATATTAAACTGTGGTAGGCGCGGGGCGGGCGAGTTATTCGCTCGCGGGTCAGCGAGTCCAGCGATACGGTGCTTAATCACCCAGCAGTGCAACCACATTTTGTCAGGCATGTTAAAAATTTTATTTATCAATTTACTGTGACGAAAATTATTTTTCTAAAACTAAATAAGCTATTATTTTGTTTATTTTTATTTACAAATTGAACTAGAAATTGTTTCACTTGAGTGGTAGCTGCTGCTGGCGGGACCCGCGATCGGAGTTGGCCTAAGTGAACGCGCCCCTGGGAGTGACGTCGCGTCGCGTCGCACCGAGCACAGTGTCCTGTAGATTGCACTATCAGTCTCATCGAGAGGGCCCGGCCGGTCAGAGCACAATGGAAGGCTTCAAGAAGTGCGAAAGCTGCGGCAAGAAAGGCCACACGAAGCAAGAATGCTGGGGCAACAAAACATTCTCTCCATGTAAATATTGCAAGAAAACCAACCATCCTCCAGAGTCATGCAGGTTCAAAGAACAGCACGAGAGGCAACAGTCACTCGATCATATCAAATGCATGTGTCAAACTGGGTGTAAGCATGGTGGCTGTAAGTGCTTGCAGAACAATATTAAATGCAAATCCGTCTGCCATTTCGGAACAAAATGCGAGAGAAAATGAAACAATGCACGTGTGTTGCCAACATTTCTCGGTAAGAAGCCCTTGTTTTTCAATCAGTGCATCCCTCATAAACCGTGTCCGCCTCAACGGTTTTCCCGCCTAAACCATCGCGATCACGTGCAAGTCGACCGACACGGCTTTAGAGGGATGCACATGTAAACTGTTCAATCTTGGGCGATGCACACAGGTGAAATAAGATTTAATTTGGTTCTAGGTTCTGCTCAATGATGTGACTCTGGAAGCTTCTATTTTTAAACAACAATTTGAGCGCTGGCTACTAAAATTGAATGTTTTTCGTGGTCTACAGATATCTATTGTCAGTTTATGTAATTCCTGGACTTTTGTTATTGAATTTACTTGTAAAGCAAGCAACTTCCTGTTGATTTATAATTTATGTTTTTGATTTAATTTTCATTGTCATTAAACTCCTTACTTGTGGCAAGTCGTTCTCATTACTGCATGCATCTCCTGTCTTAACCATAACCATGAGGCACAGGGTGTTTCCTGCCAAATGATATCCTCAGCACTGACTATTTTTTAAGGGAGAGTCAGAAAATCAGAGAAACATAGTTGAGATCATCTATTTTTCAATGTTGTCAGAATAAATAATTTAAAATCAGTTCCAGCTTGAGAGAAGACTTCTCCGTAGTTCCATGGCTGAAGTAACTGCACATTTTTCCTTACTGTAAAAATCAGAACCATGTAGGGATAATGCTGCACCTGCATCAACAAAAAATAAATCATTAGTGCTGGAAACAATGCATGGCAAATAATGACACAAGTTGAAGCAAGAAAGGTGAAAGGGTGCAAGTACAGCATACCTGCAGCTGGTGATGATTCAAAACAAACTGTTGGTTCATTTATGTTTAACACTTTCTTTTCATTAAGTTCACTTTTGCACCTTAGAAGATTAAAAGAAATTCACTATATAACTTATGCCCAAGACAAACAAAGTTCAAACAACACACCGCTTTTTATTATTTAAGAGGCTACTTACTTGGCATGAGGGTCAGTAGAGTTGGTAAGAAGAGCAAGTTTCTGCGTCAAATCTTCTACTTCATGCTCCAATTTCTTAAGTTTCGTAGCAGCATGGGCTTCCTGGGAAAGAGATTGAAAATGAAGAATGGAATACAAAAAGAAACTGGCAAGTATATTCAAGCACAGTACTAACCTCAAGGCAATGTTCAGCATTCATCAGCAGGTCTTGCTGCAAAAATGCTTTCTTAGCTAAAGCCAAATCAACCCTTTGCTGTATACTATCCAGTTCTGCCATTTTTATGTCAACATTGTCAGCTTTGACTCTGCTATGACCACTCTCTTTACGAAGCTGAAATCAAATTTGAAACACATCACAATTTGTTATACTACAATTAGATTGAATTTTTTCCGCAAAACCTGGATCTTTATCAAATTTTTCAGTGAGCAGGTGTACCTTTTGAATTTCCTCACTTAAGAGCTGTTGTTGTTGTCTGAGGTGAAAAATTTCATCACTAGGTATGGTATTTTCCATCAAAGACCTTGCTAATTTCTTGAGACTGTATTCTCCAAGGCGTTGCTGCAGCTCCTGTTTCTTAACACGGAGCCTGCTAAACTGCTCATGAACCTCTTCGTTGAGACCTTCTCTATCAAGACCGGACTGCTTAGCCTGAATACAAACCAACATTCTAAGAACCATCTCCCGTCACGATAAAACAAATTCAACTCCAATGTACAAGGTCTCACCCTTGCATGCAATTGTCGATGAAGGCGGTCTAGTTCAGCAGATCGCTGTTTTACATGATGCTCCATTAATTCAACCTTTGCTGCGGCCAGGGATTCTTCTTCTTGCAAACGTAACTCTCTTCGCAGAGATGCTAGCTGTTTTCTTTTCTCTGCCAACCTTTCCTCTTCAGCCTGCAGAGCAGCATTTGCTGCTTTTTCAGCCTCTGAAGAAATATGAGAGTAAGAGGATGAGTTTCAGGGGTGGCCATTAAAGTTGGCATTCTAGTCAATGCTTTTACCTAGGAGACGGGCTTCATGAACCTGAGCTTTCTTTTCTCTCATTCGCGTCTCTTCACAAGCCAACCTTCGAGAAAGAACCATTTGCTGTTCCTTCAAAATGTTTTCTTCTTCTCGACGAATGGCATCTCGCTGTTCTTTCTGAAACAATTTTGCAGAACAATTAAGAACAATATTTTTCAAATAGAGAAGACTGAAACTTAGCTGTCAATTTACCTGATAGTTCACAATAAATTTGGGAAATTCTGAGAAGACAGGATAGTTCCCTTTTGACAATGGACTAAATGGCTTCAGGTATTGACGAGGGTGGTTTTCACTTGAAGTTTTCTCCATTAAGTCATAGCATTTTTTTAAGAAGTATTTCATATTAATAGGATTTTGGTGTTGGAAGAAAAACTGCGAATTAAAGTAGTCAAGTATTACTGAGTTAGAATTTTTAACAAGGTAAAAGTAAAAGACTAAAATTTAAGTGAGTTAGAATTTTCAACAAGGTAAAAGTAAAAGATTAAAATTTAAGTGCAGGTAGGCATAACTTACATCAAAGTCTTGTTTTGATGAGCACGTTTTAAGGGAAGCACGGCAGCACATATTATAAGCGACCACAGCAAAGAGAAGAAACCATGGAGGGTTGGATAGTACATGATCCCAAAGTTGCTTCCATTGGGCTGATGTCAGTACCTGAGTATAATGCGTCAATCACCAAAAACAAAACATTACTTCAAACAGCCAATAGCATGGACTTTACATGCGACTAAAGAATTCTTCAAATTAGCTGTATTACTGTACCTCAGAAAATGCTGTTGATAAAAGGGACCATGCATATTGGCGAGATGTTACACCAGCATTACAAAACATGGAAACTAAGTCATGATCATGCTCAGTCAAAACATTTTCAATCATGCCAAGAACGTTTACAGGCGGGAATGAAAGATATTCAAACCAGTGTTGGCACCAATTAACTGGAAAGATGGAACATTTTCAGAAAAAGGAGGGAATTTCAGCATGGCAACATATGAGAAGTGCGAGAAAAAGTGTCACAACATAGAAACACTTACTAATTAGTGTAGTGGCAACTTCAAAACAAACAAACTTATCAGAATGGAAAGCCTTGATGAATGGCAGTAAGAACTGCGGTAGATATGGGAGTTCACCAAACACAGGAGACCAATATGCTAAACAGCTGATTACACTAAAAACCAATGAAGGCCACATGAGTACTAGAAACAAAAAATATTCCAAAGCATGTGCTTAGGGAGATATTTCGTTACCTCTGCAAACAACTATACAAAATTTTGTTGTGACAAAGATTGTTAAGTGACAAATCTTGAGCAGCTGGGTGAAGGGGTCTTTCAGAGAGGCTTTTCCAAGGGCCTTTATTGCCAGGTAATCTCAGAATGGACCGCCAAATAAGACCCCGATATTGGTCTGAATATTCATAGAATTCTTTTAGAATTCTTCGCAACCTGTTTATATCTAAGACAGTGTCAAACTGTAAAAAAAAAAAATCACAAGATTAAAGGAATTTCTAAATGCTTTGCATTTACTTGCCAAAATAATTGCTCACCTGTTCATTGATTTTAGATAAACTCTTCTTGGAAGGCAACTTAATTGGTTTTTTGGGTGGATTAGTGTTTGGCTGCATTTCAGGGAGGGGAACAGATTCTAAGTTCAAAGCTTCATTCTTTGATTGAGCAGGGTCTTTCCCAGGACCCCTTACAACATTTGACAGCATCTGGGAGCCACTAAAAATTTTTGATTCACCAGACACTGTATTACAGACGACATATTTTCCAGACCTGCTGCATGTGAAACTGCCTGAAGCAAGAATATTGAAAATACAAGGTGAATAAGTGAAATTTGTAGGAAGCAGATTTCAATTGATTGAATACTCCATGAAATACTCACTAATATTATTTTCAGTTTTGGATTCCATAATAGTCTCTTTTGTGAGATCCAAAAATAGTAATTTTCCAGAATCTAATAGAACTACAAGAATCTGCAGTGGAACAGAACATTAACAAATAGGTATACTGTAAATTATACAATATAGATAAAATTGGGAATCAAGATTGATGCATGTGAATCAATTAGTAATCACTCATTCTAACCTGATTAGCACCCGAATCAAATGCTTGGGGCAGAAACTCCAAATGTTCCACTTTGGAAACATAGTCTGGTAGTAGTATCACTCTCTGGCAGTCCCAATCTTCTACGGTAAAAATGACCAATTGCCTGGATGCACCACCAAGAACCATGGCTCTGCCATTCCTGAAAGTAAGTAAGGAAAACAAAGAGGGTCAAACAAGCTACACATTCTCCATTGTCTGGGTAGAAGCTTTAGAATAATGCTGTATTACCTTGTAAATGCCAGGCTTCTGATACTGTCCCCTTTCCAAGTGTCTGGAACAACTTGCTTGACACATTGAAAGGACGGAAAGCCCCAGATATGTATGGCGTCATCTTGAAAGCAAGCTAGAATGTTGTCCGATATTGGCATGAATATGGCCTGAAAGCGAAGAGAAAATGTAACCAGCTCGTGAGGATACAAGCAATGCAAGCAATGCCGAACACCAATGACAAACCTGCTTTATAGCCATGCCTGGCTGCAAATTCAGACGATGCGCTTGCGTTAGAGTCTTTAAATCCCATATGAAACCCTCACAACTAGCCACAGACAGGCAGTAATTTCCATCTGAGCTGAATGTGACCTTGGTAGGAGCTTCCGTATGTCCACTCAGAGTGGCAAGGTGACGTCCAGTTTCTGAGCAAACATAGTGAAAGTGACAAACACAACGAGGTTAGTGAAATAAAATCTTAACCATCAAAGAAATAATTTAAACTTTGAACTTCCACTACCTGTGTTTAAAAGGAGCAAGCTGCATTGCTTTGTACCAATTACGAGTTCGCTTTTCTTGTGACAGTGGAATGACAAAAGCGACAATGAAAATTGTTTACCCAATGGCCAAAATCTAAAATGGAAAATTATGAATACACTGGCCAAAGACCAAAAAAAAAATTAAGACGGAACTGTCAATACTCACACACTGTTGGTCAAGTCAACTACAAATATGTTGCCTCTGTGGTCAGCAACAGCAAGTAATTCGTCGCAACAGCTAAACGAAGAAAACAAGAATCTGGTGCGTCTGATGTCTCCCGTAGGACCAGGAGCCGTGTGATGAATTTTCAGAAGGAGCCTATAATAGAAAGCACGACAGAAATAAAAATACTGGTTTACGATATCCAACGATATCATATTCAGGGATTGTGTGAGAGACTCACCCATCTGACCGATTGGTTGTTTTCGTATACGGCTGTTTGAAAATCCGAGGCTTCAAATCTGACACGGGCTCCATGACCAAGCTGTCAAAGATGTTGTCAAAACTTGGTTTGCTTTAACTCCTGTGGTATTGACTTGGAATGTCAAGTCAAAACACTTAATAACCTCCAAAGCTCACACTACCTCCGGGAATATGACATGTTAAGTCAAACTTGAAACTTAATAAAATGCATGAAACTAGATCACATTTAATTCAAGCTTGTAGGTTTATCAACTGAAATAATAAACTGCCAAACATTGTGTTTCGTTCTGATTGCCAGGGATTTTCTGTTTGTTTACCTCAAAGCCTCCTCCTACTCTCCTCCCCACTCTTCTGATGTACTTTCGCGCGCAGCCGGCAGCTGTCTACGCGAGTATGAAAAATTGTATGGAGGCAGAATTTGAATGCTTACGGAGAGCGAGCCGATTCCTTTCTGTCGCTTTCTCTTTCAGGAATAACGTGTGTGTGAGGTAAAGGTTACAAAGAAAACACAACATTTCCAACCTATTTTTAAAACTTTTGTTTATTTCTTTTTTACTAAAGTGTTAACAGTTATATACTTGTGGCAACATTATACAATCTCCTTGAAAATCTTTGAATACTGTCAACAGGTTATACATGATCATCAACTACATATTTTTCGTTTAAAGATTAAATATTCTCGAAGAAGAAATAAGTTTGTACCAGCAGTCAGAACTAGGACCACTACTAGGGCTATGAGTAAATAATGCAGTGACGTCAATGGGAAGTTGAAAGGTACAGTCGTCTAACTTTTCTCTGCCATTCGAAGACTCGAATGCATCTCTTCTAACCCCTCTTTGCACATTGAGTCGAGATTCTAGAGCTAGAGATGAGTGGATTTAGTAGGTTAAAGTGGACATAGAAGAGGTGACAACTTTTCATGGAGCCTGCCCGGCAGCAAAATTGACGTTTGCTACAAGGACCTGAGAAAAATTGATTCCGAGTACACTATGTCATTCCAGGCCAACGAAGATGGTCTCTTCCCTACGGTACTGCTGCTGGTAGATTAAAGAAAGTTCCCATTTGAAAGGCAAGCTTTATACTTTTGTGCGAGCATAGAAGAAGCCTAGCAGATTCGTCTGACAGCAAATCCATTTTGTCAGTTTTGTGCAAAGAGTTACAGGTTTGGGGTCTGGTCTCCAGTGTGGGCGTGGTCGTTCGAATCGACGTCGGTTTGACGTTGCGTCGGGGTAAACCCATCGTCTCGCCGCCGTGTCGCCGTGTTTGCCCGAGGGACCCCTGCTGCTGCAGCTCGCACACACGCACACTCACACACACACACGCACACAGGACCGCCTTCACACCACGTGACCCTAGAGGGCTCAGGGGCGCTACCGGCGGCCGCTCACAACAATGTTTTTCTACCTTGGAAGAGATTCGTTTCAGTAGGTGCCTTGCTTAAGGCGGGAGTACCTCTACACTCCCATAACTATCGTGTTAATTAATAAGTCGAGAGCAGCAGCAGGGGTGTCGCGGGGCCAGGAGAGCGGACCCCCCAGTGAAGGGAATGACAGCCAGAAAGAATGGCATGGAAAGAGTTGCAAGTTGCTCGTCCCTCGCTAGCCTCGCCTCGCCCCAGTCGCCAGGAAACTGCGAATTTCCGTCCGCGAATGGTTTCCCCGGCAGGCCGAGGCCTGCGCGAGGCAGCAGGCCTCAAGGCCGTTGCCAAGGCCGTTGCCAAGGCCGTTGCCAAGGCCGCGGGCTGCAACGGGCCAACGGACCGACGAACACAGGGGAAGGAGGATGGCTTTGCGCGCAGAGTGGGAGAGCGGCACCACAGTATTTCAAAACTATTTTCACAAATCAAGGTTTAAAAAAAGAATCAAGGAGTTATTAATCATTACAAACTATATAACAGCACCAAACGTCATAAGCGTACTCGTGCCGCGGCGACGGAGGCGACCTGGCATGGGACTACTCTATGGTTAAACCTTATGCACCGAATTCAATACTTTTGGACCAATACGGAGACATAACGTTTCGACCACTGAATATTTTCGTCGGGAAAAAAATCACACAAAAATCCCCGCGAATGGCGTTTAGAAAACTCATACCAGAAAATCTTGAGCTTCAAAAATGGGTGACAAAACGTCCTGCGCCGGACGGAGGCGGAACCCGAGCAACTCTATGAACATTCCCAAGTGAGTCTTCTGTTGCAAGTGGAGGAGCGAGTCGAGGAGCGACAAGCCCGTTCTTACAGTTCAGTGAGAACGCTCCGAGGTCTCCCCGTTCACAAGATTCACACACCACGGGCCGCCTGTGGACGAGGGGGCAGGCCGTCCCGGCCGTTGGCACACGAGCCCGTCATGGGGCTGCCCACCCCCCGACCCACAGGCACTTCTTAAACTTGACCTGAGAGCTTGGCTTCGGTGGACTAACCCTCAAGCAGGACTCCTCGTCACCAAGATTGACAGCGTTTGCAAAGCAGTACACTGGACGTTCGTTACAACATTAACACACCGACAAAAACTCTCACTTCCTTGCCACCAGTCCTTTCAGTTCCATAACAACATGATAACAACAACAACAACAATAATAATATATCAGCATCAACAAAGAGTCGTTGGCTGTGCTTCGTGTGCTCGGCATTTCAAAATCAAAAATATTTTGGGTGAGATTTTTACCGCGAAGCACGGACGCATGTTTAGAGACCCGACAATCGACTTGAGAAAACCCTAAACTATTCACATTATTTGAGGCATTCAACAGATAACCAGCTGTTTTGCACAGAAGTTCCAACAATGGCCACACAATTTTATCACTATTACAAAACACAATCTACAGAAGTATCACAACCTGCAGCCACAAATCACAAGATCTCTTTCAAGTCCTAGCAAGCGCTGAACATTCTGAGTCACTTTGGGACGCAAAGCTGTATTTCGATGCACTCAAAGGAAATGTACATCTCGGGTTAAAGCGTCTCTTCTTTGCTCCTCTCTATTTACAATAAGAGCCTTCAGCCCGCTAGAGTCTGAGAGAGAAACACTTGGTTAATTCTTGACAACTGGAGCGTCGTCCTCTGCGTGAGGATCAACGAAAAGAAAGAAACTTTGCGAATGAAAACCGAATCAAAAGAGTGATTTAGTTATCATAGAACGCAGGCGTCCCGCCGTTCTTGGCCAAAAATGGAAACATATTTTTTTTCGCATGTTGTGCATGCAGTTTAACTCTTCTACAATTTTCTTGGTAACTTATCACAAGATTCGTTTCTCACTCTAAGTATCACTAAGTCTTGATATGTGGCCAACGGCTTATGTTAATAACGAAGAGAGAATTTGTTTACAAAAAGACTGTTAAATTACCTTATTGTGAGAGCAATATTTTGAAACTAGGCACTTATGCAACATCGACACGTGACAGGCACATTTTACAACATGGGCACCAGTCGTTACGTCCGACATTAGAAGCCACTAGGTGGGGGTCCACCCCTGACGAGTAAATGATATACAGCTAGGGGTTTGTTACATGTTTAGAAATGCGTAAAATGTACAGTAGATCCAGTAGTATAGTGAAACCAAAAAATTGCCACAGCTACCTCTAACCCGTAACTCGCCGTGTTGGCCTTCAGCCGTGCCTTGGGCCGTGACTGGGGCCGTGCCTTGAGGCCCTGCCTTTGGGCCATGCCTTTATGCCGAGCCTTTAGGCCGAGCCTTTAGGCCGAGCCTTTAGGCCGAGCCTTTAGGCCGAGCCTTTAGGCCGAGCCTTTAGGCCGAGCCTTTAGGCCGAGCCTTTAGGCCGAGCCTTTAGGCCGAGCCTTTAGGCCGAGCCTTTAGGCCGAGCCTTTAGGCCGAGCCTTTAGGCCGAGCCTTTAGGCCGAGCCTTTAGGCCGTGCCTTAAACCGTGCCTTAAGACGCCCAGCACCATGGGCCGGACTGCAGCGGGTGGGATCGCGCAGCCCCAGGCCGGCCTGCACTATATACAGTATGTACACGATCATACCCTCAGAGGAAAAGAGAAAGAGAAAGAGGCATTGACAGGGCGGAAGCCATGTTCGCGGGGCATTGCAAAGATCAGTTCGCGAGACCAGACATCCGCCTGATGCTAAAGCCCCAGGGCTTCACCGGGGCTCGCACAACAACAACAACAACATTAACACGCTACGAATTATTGCTTTTGTCGCGGGCCAGGGTTGGCTGGCCGCCAAAGAAGACGAAAACATACGGAGAGGAAGGTTGCTAGTGAAGAACACGTTCCTCTGTCTTAAAGGAAATTAAAAATATGATTAAAACCACCGCCGAGTGCGGAAAAGATAGCAACTCCATTCGAGGACTTGGACATTCGTGAGGACTTGTAGAGCCACTCTCAAGGACGCAAGTAAGGCTGCCAGCAAGTTCGAATTTCGTTTCCTTTTCGCGCACTCGGGATAGAAAGAGAGGGAGCCAGAGTAATTGGCTCTATTTATGCATATAACAGGAGGTGGAAAATCTACGGAAAATATAAACAGATTGGCGTCTCAAGAAGAGCCATAAATGTGAGTCCAACTCACACAATCACAAAGTCAATTGAAAGGGCTAGAAATTTTGAAAATTTCAATACTACCATACGATACAAAGACCTTATACAAAAATTTTCGTACGACTCTCGGCAAGAGTCCTTGTCTACAATATCTCTATATCAATACTGAATGTCCGATTCATTAATGTGAAAGAAGATAGAAACGACTTTTTACTAGAAATCCAGTTTTGACGAATGCGAACCGAAAGATAAGTTCTGGGTTTGTCTGCGAAGCGCGCCTGGAAAGCTGTGTTGCAGCTCAGAAAATGCCGTCCAATCCCTGCGAGCCGCGCCAGAACGCCCCGTACTAACTGACATTGAGCAATCGGAACACCTCCGCCAAAAAAAGGGCATGGCTCCAACTATGTCTAGGTTGTTGTCGAGACAACAAGACTCTGTCCGTTGATTGCAACTTGCTGTTTCGATAGCAACATCAACTTAGTGGGGACACCTGTCCAAACCGCACCCACCAACCACCAGGAAGGAGCGCGGGGTTCTGCTCAGCCCAGGCCAGCGTGGTCTTGCTGAGGTGGCCACTCGATTGGCCACTAGGGTGGCCACTCGGTTGGTAACTAGGGTGGCCACTCGTTTGGCTACTAAGGTGGCTACTCGGTTGGCCACTATAGTGGCCACTCGTGGCTCTCGTGGGGAACGCAGCGCTTCGAACAGGTCGAGGTGAGAATACGTAGATTATAATCGGGGCAAGCTGGCACGGCAGGCACAACAACAATAACAACAACAAAACTATCCCAAAAGTTTACCCAAGCCACTCGCAATACAGCGACAGTCCATCGGCCAATTGAATATTTTTGATTTACATACCAACCGCAAGTCTCAAGCTAGTTTCACAACGATGGAGCAATGAGGACGACATATCGATCGTTTTGCACCAACAGAAAGTTCGCGAGCACCACAAGACTCGCGACCAATTTCGCGGGAACAGGGTCTGGCATAATTTAAAATTCCCGGCGATCCTACAGGCGCACAGTGGGCCAGAAGACCGGTGGAGGCGGCCAAAACTCGAAGCCCGTTTTGAGCTCCAGAGTCCCCAAACAGGTCCCGAACGGAGCGTGTCACCCCACCATTGGATTCCTTGTTCGGAGAGAAATCCATTGGTGAGGTCACGCGTTCGGTTTGAGTCCCTTTAAACGACTCAGAAGCTCAAAACCCGCCTATAATTTCAGCCGCCTCCACCGGTCTTCTGGCTCACTGTGAGGCGACACCCAAACGCCAGCAAACGGAATTGTTTGTACCGGGAGTGAAAACTGTGGCGACTGACAGGCAGTAAAGAAGTACACTGTCAATATTGTCTCGGCAACTACGTAGAAGGACTGTGTTTAAGACACCAAGAAACCAAATACAAAACCAAGAAACGACACTAAGCCTTTCTCCTACAACACAGAAGCTGTACAAAACAGGATTAACAAAATTAAGTTATCTTTACAATGGTCAACATTTATAAAATATATGTTGTAGATCTATCCTTTAAAAAATTACGATGGGTTATAATTAGTACGTCTAAGATGTAAATTGCCACGACGGTATCGCCATGAGTTTAATGAGTAATGTTTAGTTTATCTGTAATACTTCGTTCATGGTTTATTGTTTAAAAGTTAGTGCCTTTATACATACTAAAATAACGATCTATATCGAAACCCCCTCTTAAAGTACTGTTAAACTTGACGCCATTCCGAACGCGTTCGTTCCCTCTCTCTCCAACCCGCACGGGGGACCCCATGAATGGGCCATGATGCCAAAGGAAACATGAAGCAAGTTTTGTGCGTTTCTTTCGGCCCCTCCACCTCACCCCGTAGTGAGGCTGTGACGTAATGGGGGGCCGTCGTTTGGAGCGCGACCAGGTGGCCCACTGCTGCCAGCGTGGCCCGGCGTGTAGTAAAAATAGTGCCCCCTAAGTACCAACCTAACCAACTAAAGCATCATTAGAACATACCCTGGCCTACCCTAGAATAGATGGAGGAGAAGGGGGGGAGGGACGCAGTCTTGTGGTTGACAACAGTGGCATCGCGGCCCGGGCCGACCGGGGTCCTGGTTGCACCTGGTTGCACCGGTTGCACCTGGTTGCACCTGGTTGCACCTGGTTGCACCTGGTTGCACCGGGTTGCACCGGGTTGCACCTTGGTTGCGCCTTGGCCCGGGCCACCGGTCAGTTTGTGTTCGCACATCGTCCTCACCACGCCAGCAAGGCCATCATCATCATGGCAAGGCCAGCAAGCTAGAAGGGGCACTCGAACGGGTACTTGTACTCGAACATGAGTGACACCGCCACGAACACGAAGTACAGCACGAACATGGTGAATCCTAGCGACTTGTTCATGCGCCAGTTGAAGCACGCGATGGACAGGATCACGAAGAGCAGCATCATGAAGAGGATGGCGATGGAGCACACCATGCCGTGGCTGTTCACCTCCACCGGCTTGCCGTAGATGATGCCGTACAGCAGCCAGGGCACGGGCAGGCTGCAACAGCAACGTCGTCATCATCATCATCATCATCACCACCACCACCACCACCACCACCACCACCACCATCACATCATCATCATCATCATCATCATCATCATCATCATCATCATCATCATCATCATCATCATCACATCATCATCACCACCACCACCACCACCGCCACCACCATCAAACAACAAAATTTGGCAAGCTTGGCCCGGAAATACTCCCCCGGTGGCCAAAATTTGGCAAGCTTATGAAGATTTCCGATCAAAGCTTGCCAAATTTTGGCAGTCAAAACTGCTTGCCAAATTTGTGGCAAGCAAACTTACCACTGGCTTCGCAGTGCTGTAGCTCCGCTTGCGTTTCAGATAAAATTCTTTTTACGGGAACGCCTTGATAAGACCATTTGAATACGACCCCACACGTTTTCAGATTTTTTGTAATAATGGTAGAGTGGCTTAAAATGACAAGCGACAGGCACCCACCCGACAGTGACGTCGAAGATGTTGCTGCCGACGGAGGAAGACACGGCCATGTCCCCGAAGCCTTTCCTCGCCACGATGACGCTGGTGATGAGGTCGGGGATGGACGTGCCGGCCGCCAGGAACGTCAGCCCCATCACCTGCAACGCGGCAGCGAGTCAGCAAGGGGGCGGTCAAAAAACTCTAGACGCGTTTTGAGCTCCAGAGTCGCTAAATGGGACTCGAACCGAACGTGTGACCCCACCAAAGGATTGCTCTCCGAACGAGGAATCCATTGGTGGGGTCACACGTTCGGTTCGAGTCCTGTTTAGCGACTCTGGAGCTCAAAACGCGTCTAGAGTTGTGGCCACTGGCTCCGGTCTTGTGGTCCACTGTGGGCGCGGTGGCTGTGAGCGCCCGCAGAGCGCGAGGTAGGCCGGCCCGCCATGCAGGTGTGCGCAGCGCACTGCCTACGCCGTCGTCCGCAGGCGTTCGTCCCACTAGGTGCCGGCACCGTGCCGCTCCACGATAACAAGACTGCCCTGCTCACCTCCGGGGGAATGTTGGCGGTGTCGCCCACCACGTTGGCCCACCACACCATCAAGTACGAGTACGCGGCGATCCAGCAGATGCTGCCGAGGAAGGTCAAGGGAAAAAACCTTTTGCCTGCGAACAAAAAAAAAACAATAAGTCATCAAACAAAACAAAGTTCTTTTCTCATAAAAATCCGTCCTTCAGTATGGATTCTGAGCCAGAAAGGTGTGGAACGCCCGCACAGATTCCCTGAAGTCTAGAATATGCACCGAACTTCTCGTTAACTTCCGTAGATGGTGAAGATCGGTCGCTCCAAAAAAGCTATTGATGAGGTATTTTAAGTGCTATCTCCGCACGTTTTTTCACTAATTTTCAATTCTTTAAAATTGAGAGGGCATTTGAAAGTGGGTCAGAGGACCGGTGGAGTCGGCCAAAACCCCGGACACGTTTTGAGCTCCAGAGTCACGAAACAGGACACTGTGGCAAAAAGGTACGGAAAATTCTGTTAATTTTTTTGCCAGGATTCTCCGTAGCCCTCTTATCAATATTCTCCGTAGGCTCTTACAGTATTCTCCGTAGGGCCGCACAGTATTCTCTGTAAGTCCGCACAGTCTTCTCCGTAGGACCTGGAAGACTGTATAGTTCTACGGAGATTACTGTAAGGTCCTACGGAGAATACTGTGCGGTCCTACGGAAAATACTGTAAGAGCCTACGGAGAATATTGATAAGGGGGCTACGGAGAATTACCACAAGCTGTTTACAGAATTTTCCGTAGCTTTTTGCCACAGTGGACTCGAACCGAACGTGTGACCCCACCAATGGATTCCTCGTTCGGAGACCAATCCATTGGTGGGGTCACACGTTCGGTTCGAGTCCCATTTAGCGACTCTGGAGCTCAAAACGCGTCTGGAGTTGTGGCCGCCTCCGCCGGTCTTCTGGCCCACTGTGCTCCTCCTTACCCCTGGGTGTGCGGGTGTCGGGCAGGGTGAGCCACAGCGGGAAGACAATGGGTGCGATGAGAAGGTAGGTGATCCTCTTGCGGGTGGTGTCCGGCCAGGTCATGTCCAGGGCCTCCGGCTCCTCGGGCTCCTCGCCGTCCGGGGCCTGCAACACGGACACCCTGTACAAACGGCCCACCCCATGCACTGCACTGCAAACAAAGACGGGGTTAGTGTCGTTCCAAAAGGGCGCATGTTCGTTTTGTGAAATGACCACACGTCCGCGACGCATCAGTGAAGAAAGGTCGGCAAAGAGAATTTAAACCAGGAATGACCCCTACGTGGAGTGGCCCAAAGAACCCTCAAATCTCTGTAGTTCCTGTCTGTTTATAGACATTACAACAGTAAAACGGAAATTAAGTTAATTTTCACAGTTGTTCTACCGACTTTCAGGTTATTTTATCAAAGTCGCGAAACCCTTCTGCTGGGTTGCATGCCTAATCAATAAGGAGTCCGTGGGCCATCCCGGCTTAGCCAGCAACTTTACCTTGGAAATAAACTACGCAGCAGGCGAAATTTTGAAGAAGCTTTTTCTAAACGGATACATGTGTGCATCAAGTCGATGATGGTCTCGAACGGCCTGCAAATGGTTCGACTGTCGTGTCAGCGTCAGCCGGTTCGGCGGTTTGCGTTTGTCTCTGTCGTTTTCCATGCGCGTTACTTACAGTGTCCCCGCCAGGGTTCAGCCCGGTGAGCTCAGTCTGAGACGGCAGAGTGGACCTTCGAGTCTGGAACATGTAAAAGGGACGTCTAGACGACAGCCGTGCGGAGAGTGCCACTATCCTGACGTGAGCACTGCTGTTTGTCGCAGTTGTTTTTTTTCTCTCCTTAGTCAAGTTTTTTTTCGCCAGATTGCATCTTTTGCAGCAGTATCGGCACCAAAATCGGTACTTGACGACATTATTATTTACTTATGCTAGTAACATGCTTTCTTTTGTGGATTACGGCAAAGTAGTTTGGCCCATGCTTTACGAAGTGCGGATTTATTATATAGAGTCTCGTTTGACCAAGCTCAAAGTCTATTTGATTATTTACCAACTATTACTAAGTTACTGTAAACGTTTGGCCTTTGATTTTAATCTTGCTACAACTCTCGCTCTCTCTTATGACGGCTTCCCCCCCTTTTTTATTCAAATGTTTCATTTTCTTTTAAATTATACGCGACCTTGTCAGAAAGGTGCTTTGGCCCGGCTATATCGCGAACCTGAAGCTGGTTTAGTTTCAAGCGATAGTTGTGGTTGTTCAATGTACACTAGCGAGTGACTCAAATACTTTCGTCAAAAAGAAGCAATTCTGCACAAAAGTTTAGCGAAGCAGTTTGTTAGGGAAAGCAAGTTAGCAAGCAAGTTTTTAGCAGTGTCAACGCGTGTGAGAAGTGTTCCTAAATCCAATCTTGATGGCGTAATCGTCGTCACCGTTTCGTCACACCGGGCCAGTCCAAAGTCCAATCTCGCTAAGAGCCTATTTCAAATTTCATTATTCTCTAATTTTCTACAGTACTTTTACACTTCTCGAGCATCATGAAGCACGACGCTGGAACTTGGCGATAGAAATAATGAAAGGGTGACCGAGAGATAGAGAGCTAGGCTAGACTAAGATAGACACAGACTGACAGACAGAAGACAGACAGGCAGATAGACATACAGACGGGCAGACAGATAGAGAGTGACAGATAGACAGACAGACAGGACAGAAATGGGTGACTCACATGTTACATTAATGAGAATGTTATTCAGTTTTTACAGCATGGCAAAGATGTCATGATTATTGTTGGTACATGGCGCGCTACTCTAGAGAGTATTAATTTCACTGTTACACTCTTCTAAAATTAGAATGACTGACCCTAAGCTAGTTACCAATTTAGCCATGACAGGATGAGTACAAGAGACACATTTTAGAAGTTTCTCAACAAGAAGACACAAGCTGTATTCACAGTCTCCCATAAATAAGCACAACTGAACATGCAGTCCACGTTAACATCCATAGCAACTTCGTAGCAAAGCGAAACGGTGTCAGAAGAAATTGTCCTTGAGCAATTTTATAGATATAACAAAAACCAAAAAAAGGCAGTATATAGTGAAAAATGAAATAAATGATTAGTGCACTCTTTCGGTGACTCTGTCCTCCTGTTTTGTGACTTGGTAATAAGCCGAAGGCACCGATCAAGGGGTCTGCCACTCCTTGCACACATTCAAAACTCTGCAGTCACTCCCACTAACTTAGACTTGTGAGACAAGCGCCTGCAAGTAGGCAAAAAGTATGGCTCAATTCAATGGAAACTCACTACACTACACGGTAAATCCGGCTCCTGGGATTCCCAGGAACATTGGTCAATTCCCAGGACAGTTGGTCATTTCCCAGGACGGACCCTGGAAACAGCGAAATATTCCCAGGACGCGGTGATTATTTCCCAGGACGGTCCTGGGAATTGTTCCAAATCCTCCAAACCCAGGACGCGTCCTGGGAATTTTTCATTGTTCCCAGGGTTCGTCCTGGGAAATTGTCACCACTTCCTGGGAATCTATCTGGGTCCCCCAAATGACCTCCCAGACACCCCACCGTGTCGACTTTCATAAGTCTTTGTCATGTAGGATGTCATCGGCGACCTCACAAGGTGCCCGATGACGTCCTCCTGGGGTTCGCCATGACGACCCCCATATTTGACCGTGCATCCTGGGCCGCACGGACCTACCCAGTCCGATGCCGAAGTCCGTTTTGTCCTACGACCAGTAGTTTGGGAGATACGAGGACGTACCACGAGGTCGCCGTCCAGGCAGAGGAGGAAGTGGTGATTTTTTGGAGGCCAAAGCAGCTCTGGCCGCCGTTCTATCGGGTGTCCGGGACTTCTGACTTCGGATTCGGGTTAAGGGGGTCTTCAGCTACCCATAGCCGGAAGCTGGTCTCGATAGGTCTCATGGTTTGACCAGGACGGCGTCAAACGCCCAAAACTATACCGTTTACCTGCCGCCAAACATCCAATTATCGCCGTCCTGGGCAGTCTGTTGGCCCCATCGACGCCAAACTCGGGCTCAGGGCAGGCTAAGACCCCCTGAACCCAAATCCAAAGTCAGAAGTCCCGGACACCCGATAAAACGGCGGCCAGAGCTACTTTGGCCTCCAAAAAATCACCACTTCCTCCTCTGCCTGGACGGCGGCCTCGTGGTACGTCCTCGTATCTCCGAAACTACTGGTCGCAGGACTAAACGGACCTCGGCATCGGATTGAGTAGATCCAAAGGACCCCAAACACACGCTTCAATCCGGGGGTCATAATGGTGAACCTCAGGGGGGAGGTTGTCGGGCACCCTGTGATGTCGCCGATGAAAGCTTGGACCGCGCTTCTTTCAGGTGTCCGGGACTTCTGACTTTGGATTTGGGTTCAGGGGGTCTTAGCCTGCCCTGAGCCCGAGTTTGGCGTCGATGGGGCCAACAGACTGCCCAGGACGGCGATAATTGGTTGTTTGGCGGCAGGTAAACGGTACAGTTTTGGGCGTTTGACGCCGTCCTGGTCGAACCATGAGACCTATCGAGACCAACTTCCGGCTATGGGTAGCTGAAGACCCCCTTAACCCGAATCCGAAGTCAGAAGTCCCGGACACCCGATAGAACGGCGGCCAGAGCTGCTTTGGCCTCCAAAAAATCACCACTTCCTCCTCTGCCTGGACGGCGACCTCGTGGTACGTCCTCGTATCTCCCAAACTACTGGTCGTAGGACAAAACGGACTTCGGCATCGGACTGGGTAGGTCCGTGCGGCCCAGGATGCACGGTCAAATATGGGGGTCGTCATGGCGAACCCCAGGAGGACGTCATCGGGCACCTTGTGAGGTCGCCGATGACATCCTACATGACAAAGACTTATGAAAGTCGACACGGTGGGGTGTCTGGGAGGTCATTTGGGGGACCCAGATAGATTCCCAGGAAGTGGTGACAATTTCCCAGGACGAACCCTGGGAACAATGAAAAATTCCCAGGACGCGTCCTGGGTTTGGTGGATTTGGGACAATTCCCAGGACCGTCCTGGGAAATAATCACCGCGTCCTGGGAATATTTCGCTGTTTCCAGGGTCCGTCCTGGGAAATGACCAACTGTCCTGGGAATTGACCAATGTTCCTGGGAATCCCAGGAGCCGGATTTACCGTGTAGCACTGAATGTCTCAAAATTTTAGCCAGTGCACTCTCAGACTCGTATTGACTTTTTTCTCACCATTATTGGCTTTTTGTCCTTTTCTTACGTAGTTTTTTAAACAGCAATAATATGTAGTATTTTCTTTGTAACCATGTACAGTATTGTTCACTATAATGACTAATTTGTCATCAATTATCGACTATTTTTGAAGTCAATTCCGTATTGACACTTGGTCAGTAGCAAATTGACTTTAAGTCAAAAAAAACGAACGAAATCTCACATAGATATTGAGTAAATAGTACTTTTTATTGCTGAGTAAAATACTCTTTAACAAAGGACAAAAAGTCAACAACAGTTTGAGAGTGTGGCAGGCCCCTCGGCACCGATACTTGACAAGCATCAAGGGGGTCTTACAGGCTCTTCCCGGCCGCTCCGCACAGACACAGTCAGACACACAGACAGACATGCGACACCAATAAGGGCGGCCATGCAGTGGCAACACAACGGAAAGTGGCGTGTGAATTATAAACAACAGGAAATGCGCATTCCGGGTACTTCAGCGTCGCTCGCCCGTCCAGAGACCAGCCTCACAAAACAAAAACAAAAATAAATTCTTTTGTTACTTGTTTTCAATTACTTATTGAAAATATTTTTTGAAAATTACTTTTCAACACTGTCTAAGAGCTTTTGAAATATTCAAGAATCTCCTTACAAATAAAACCAAGGATTCCAACCTTGGATTCCAAAAGCAGAACTATTATCGTAAAATCATTTTTCTTTGAAATCGTAGTTTGTTTCTTTGTTTGAGGCTGGTGGGGCACAGAGGGCCAGAAGACCGGCGGAGGCGGACGAAACTCTGGACGCGTTTTGAGCTCCAGAGTCGCTAAATGGGACTCGAACCGAACGAGTGACCCCACCAATGGATTGCTCTCCGAACGAGGAATCCATTGGTGGGGTCACACGTTCGGTTCGAGTCCTGTTTAGCGACTCTGGAGCTCAAAACGCGTCTAGAGTTTTGGCCGCCTCCACCGGTCTTCTGGCCCACTGTGTGGGGGCGAGCGGCGCCGCTACGACAGGCTCAGGCTGAATGAAGGGCCGAGACGGACCGTTACCGAGTGCGCTCTGAGGAAGGTTGAGCCGCGACGAACGGCGGCCGTTTCACGGAAAGAGTGCGACACTGGCTCCTCGGACACCTGTATGCCGGAACGCGACGTGAGATTGATGAAGTCAGCAGCAAAAAAATAAAATGAGAAAAAACAAAAACAAAATGAAACTTTATGTTTGATGCTGGGGTTGATGAGGCGCTTGGGTTGAATGGAATCGGGAAGGAATTTCCCTCACCGCGGTTTGCTTCGGCGAGGTGCGTAACGACTCGACGCGTTGGCACAGGCCAGAAGACGGGCGCAGGCGGTCGAATTCCAGACGCGTTTTGAGCTCCAGAGTCGCTAAATGGGACTCCAACCGAACGTGTGACCCCACCAATGGATTGCTCGAGGGGGCCACCACCCCCGTAATCCTGTGTACAAATTGGCTGGTAATCTCTGGTAATCCATGGCGTAATCACGTAATCCTTGAAAAAATTCTGTCATTTTTCAACGTTTTTAGTCATTTTTCAACGTTTTTAAGCTATTTTTCAACGTTTTCGAACCAATTTTCGAAAATTTCACGCGTAATCCCTAGTAAATTTCCCGTAATCCCGTAATCTTGTGTACGCCTGAAATGAGAGTGGTGGCCCCCTCGGGATTGCTCTCCGAATGAGGAATCCATTGGTGGGGGTCACACCTCGTTTCGAGTCCCGTTCAGCGACTCTAGAGCTCAAAACGCGTCTGGAGTTTCTGGCCGCCGGCGCCGGTCTTCTGTCCCACTGAAGGTCAGGTCGGCAGCCGAGGAGGTATTCGAATGGGGCTTTGACGCCGGAAATGGTTGCCGCCTTGCGGCCGAAAATGAAGAAAAAAATTCTCCGTCGCGGAGCGGACCGCGAAAACAAACGAAAAGGAATGCGAAAGCGCGAACGAATTCGGATGCCCGATGTGCGATGACAATTTCATGAGAGAGAATGCGAGATGAGTACGGACGCGGATGCGTACGCGTCAAGGCCTCGAGCACCGAGTCTACGAAGAGTCTGTGGAGAGAGTGGGGTCCGGGTGTCAAAAAAGGCAACACACAAACAACACCGACAAGCAGTAAGAGTGTACGAACGAGAATCCAGTAATGAGATTGGACGACAATCGTCATGATCCTCGAGGATGCGTCTCAAGGCGCGCGTTCCACTCGAGTCGAAGGTGGGGGAACAAAAAGGAACGGCTCATTGCTGTTTTCTCGCGAGGAATGCAAAAGAGGGGCACACACGAGTCGATAGAGTTGGCTTCCGGCACGACTTACCGAGAGGAAAGAAGAGAAACACACAGAGAAAGAGAGAAAAGAAAAAAAGGAAGAAAAACCACACATAGAAACACACGTTGAAGAGCATGCCGCTAAAAAAGAATGAGAAGTGTGTTTACCCCGTATGACGCCTGTGCTTCAGCCTCTTTTTTTTAACAGGCACCCTTTCAGTACTGATTTATTTTTAAAAATACTTTTGAACTTTACCCTTAAATAAATTACTTGCATTAGGTGAATACTTAAAATTTTCAAGTAAATCCACTAACTGCAAGTAGGTCATATTGGATCAAGAAACGACTTTTTGGGGTTTGCCTTTTGACTTTTTGTGTTTTTTTTTTGGTTTGGCCCCCGGTGAGAGTCGAACCCGCGCTTACCGCGTCGGCTTGGCTCTGGTCGTTGATGGGGCCGCCGAGGATGCCATTGGGCTGGTCCACTGACAGCCTCGTCTCGGACAGTGTGCCCACGTGGTTGGCGGCGGACG